TCAGGCCTATAATCCTAGCACTCTGGGAGGCTTAGTCAGGCGTATCATTTGATTTTAGGAGTTCAAGCCTGAGCAAGAGCGAGACTCCGTATCTACTAAAAAAATGGAAAGAAATTAGCTGGACAACTAAAAAAATATATATGTATATAAATTAGCCAGGCATGGTGGCACATGCCTGTAGTCCCAGCTACCTGGGAGGCTGAGACAGGAGGATCACTTGAACCCAGGAGTTTGAGGTTGCGGTGAGCCAGGCTGACGCCACGGCACTCTAGCCCAGGCAACAGAGCGAGACTCTGTCTCAAAAATAAATCCTTCTGCCTCAGCCTCCTGAGTAGCTGGGACTACAGGCATGTGCCACCATGCCTGGCTAATTTTTTCTCTGTATATTTTTAGTTGTCCTAATAATTTCTTTCTATTTTTAATAGAGATGGGGTCTCGCTCTTGTTCAGGCTGGTCTAGAACTCCTGACCTCAAGCAATCCTCCGGCCTCGGCCACCCAGAGTGCTAGGATTACAGGCATGAGCCACCGCGCCCTGCTGCTATTTGTTTCTTAATCCTTCTCTTTTTTTTTTTCTTGAGACAAAGTCTCACTCTGTTGTCCTGGGTAGAGTGCAATGGTGACACCACAGCTCACAGCAACCTCAAACTTCTGGGCTCAAGCGATCCTCCTACCTCAGCCTCTTGAGTAGCTGGGACTACAGGCGTGTTCCACCATGCCTGGCTAATTCTTCTATTGTTAGTAGAGACAGGGTCTCACTCTTGCTCAGGCTGGTCTGGAACTCCTGAGCTCAAGTGATCCTCCCACCTCGGCCTCCCAGAGTGCTAGGGTTACAGGCGTGAGCCACTGCGCCCGGCCTTAATCCTTCTCTTTTTGTTGGTTTTCTTCAACTGTCTGGTAATTCTTGGTGACCATTCACCTTTATGGACAAAGGCAGACTTGCTTGATATTGGCATCCATGTCACTGTCTCCTCTGCCCTGGAGTGTGGGGTGGAGAGGCACATGTGCCACCTGCCAGCCCTTCGGGGTGTGTTGACTCCCTAGGGGCCACTCCCCCCGGCCGCTGGGGCGCTCTCTCCTATTTGCTTTGGCTCTGGTTTCCTTTGTGCCCATTTGTCCGTCAGTGCGATCCACCGCCTTTCCCTATTCTAGAAGCAAACCCAAATCCCTGTGCAGCTGATGCCCTCACCCCCCGGCCCTCCTGCTCCTGCCCTTCTGTGCACTGATTTCCTGTCTCCTTTCCTTACTGTGCTCTCGGTGGCATTGGATGGGCCAGGGATGGTGGAGGCGTCCGCCATCTTGAACTGGAAGTTGGTGTGGTGGTCTGAATGTTCTCGCTCACCCCGCTCTGCACAGATGTGTCCCTTGGGGCCTGCAAATGCTCACACTGGATGCTCAGACCCTGCACGGGAAGGAAGGAGGGAGGACCTGTACTTGGGCCTTTTTCTTTTCTCGTAACAGGCCTCCTTGGGCTTGTTGATATTCTCCGGGAGCCTCTGGCCTCACAGCCAGTCCCACCTAGACTTTGTGGCCATGTTGGGGAGCAGGGTGGCCCTTTGGTCTGCCTGAGGACCCCAGAGCCTTCAGACACTTAGGGATGGAAGTGGGTGAGTACAAGATGCATGAACAGGAGCGGAGAGCCAGAGGGACAGAAGACAGGCCATGTGAGTGACTGAATGAGTGAGGTCTGGGGTGTGACCATGAGAGTGGAGGTCACTTTGGATGGGGGAAGGAGAGGGTACAGTCTTCAGCCACTCGACTTAAGAGAAGCAACAGCAGAGCCAGCATTCACAGAGCTCTTCTGACATCCCAGGCAGGGGAAGCTCTTCACATAAGCTTTCCAGAGGACTCCAAGTTCAGAGTAGTTGAGTGACTTCCCTGTGATCACACAGCAGGTGAATGGTAGGTCTGGATTTGAACCCAGCTCTATGCAGGGCCCAGGCTCTTAACCACTGGTCTACACTACCCCCACCTACCCCAAAGCTGACTACAGCCGGTGTCTCAAAGGTCTTCCTTGGGCCACCATGGGCTGAGCTGTCCATAGGTCACATGCAACAACTGGGGCTGAAGGCTGTGGAAGCAGAGAACTCTGGCGCCCTCTGGGGGAGAGAGGAGGCTCTGCAGAGATACCGTCAAGGTCTGTGGGCAGGGGCTGGGGCTGGAATCTGAATGACGGAATTAGGGTACTGCTTGCTCCATATGAGGGCAGGGTGTCATCTCTTTTCTTCTTCTTCTTCTTCTTCTTCTTCTTCTTCTTCTTCTTCTTCTTCTTCTTCGTCTTCGTCTTCGTCTTCTTCTTCGTCGTCTTCTTCGTCTTCTTCTTCGTCTTCTTCGTCTTCTTCTTCGTCTTCGTCTTCTTCTTCGTCTTCTTCCGTCTTCTTCTTCGTCTTCTTCTTCGTCTTCGTCTTCGTCTTCTTCTTCGTCTTCTTCTTCGTCTTCGTCTTCGTCTTCGTCTTCGTCTTCGTCTTCATCTTCTTCTTCGTCTTCTTCTTCGTCTTCGTCTTCTTCTTCATCTTCTTCTTCGTCTTCTTCGTCTTCTTCTTCGTCTTCTTCTTCGTCTTCGTCTTCTTCTTCTTCTTCTTCTTCTTCTTCTTCTTCTTCTTCGTCTTCTTCTTCTTCGTCGTCTTCTTCTTCTTCCTTCTTTCTTCTTTCTTCGTCTTCGTCTTCTTCCTTTCTTTTCTTCTTCTTCTTCTTCTTCTTTCTTTCTTTCTTTTTTTTTTGAGACAGAGTCTCACTCTGTTGCCTGGGCTAGAGTGCCTTGGTGTCAGCCTAGTTCACAGTAACCTCAAACTCCTGGGGTCAAGTGATTCTCCCGCCTCAGCCTCTGAGTAGCTGGGACTACAGGCATGCATCACCACACCCAGCTAATTTTTTTCTATTTTTAGGAGAAACAGAGTCTTGCTCTTACTCAGGCTGGTCTTGAACTCCTGAGCTCAAGAGATCCTGCCACCTCGGCTTCCCAGAGTGCGAGTATTATAGGCATGAGCTGGCACTATGTCTGGCCTCTCCCCACTTCTTAGTAATGGGCCCCCAGAATTTACCTGGGTGCATCATCTATTAGCATAAAGACATAAGACCATGTGACTAACTTCTGACTAGCCAGATAGAAACAGAAATGAAGTATGCAATTTAAGGAATTATCTTAAAATAGGGGGCATGACCTGCTTTGTCTTCCTTCCATTCTGCTTTCTGGAAGGCAGATAAAAGGACTGGAGCTCGAGCAGCCATCTTGGACCAGCCGTGGGCACAGCCCATTGAATACAGACAAACAAGAAAGTAAGACTCTAGTTTCATGATCGTGGAGTCGCCATATCAGCCTTTGATGCCAACACTTACTTGTGGGAGAGGGAGATACACCTCTAAACAAAACACTATTGTTGGGGTTTTCTGTACTCATAGCCAAACTTATTAATACTTATTTTTTTGCAGTAAAAAATTTTGCCTTGGGAAAATTATCTAGCCTCCTCCTTCCTTGATTCTCCTAACTGAAATGAGAATAATTCACATCACAGAGTGTGTGTGACCTATTAAATAGCAGTGTGACCTATTGAGAAATTATCTATTGATTTTTATTTATTTATTTAGGCTGCTATAGGTTCAAAAAAATGATGAAAAGTAATGTTCCCTGGGCTGGGGGTGGTGACTCACACCTATAATCCTAGCACTCTGGGAGGCCGAGGTGAGAGGATCCCTTGAGCTCAGGAGTTTGAGACCAGCCTGAGCAAGAGCAAGACCTAGTCGAAAGAAAGAAAGAAAGAAAGAAAGAAAGAAAGAAAGAAAGAAAGAAAGAAAGAAAGAAAGAAAGAAAGAAAGAAAGAAAGAAATGTTCCTTGACAAATCAGGGAACTTGGCCTAGAGACAGGTCTTTGTTCTCCTTAACCTAAGGGACGACAAGCAAGTTCTATGTATATTGTTCTGGTACTTGGGCCTTGTATCAGTTTGCTGATATGGTTACCAAGCAACCACAAAATTCTCAGTGGCAGCCAGCAATACACTCCCTCATCCACAGGTTGGCTCCGGTCTGGCCAACTTGGGCTGGGCTCAGCTAGGCTTTGTTCCAGGCCAGGGGTTTGGTTCAGGTCAGTTCCAGGTGTGTCTCATCCTCTTTGGCCCAGTGGGTTGGCTGGAGCATGCTCTTTGCACAGCAGAGGCAAAAACGCAAGTGGACTGGGGATTGGCTCCAATGTGTCACAATCCTGCAGGCCAATCAGATGAACCCTTTGTGCTTTGGTCAAAAGCGGAAACAACCCCAGCTTAGGAGTGGATGCAGAGGTTACAAGAGGAACAGAGTGAGAGATCTAACCTTTCTGTGCCCTGTGGATTTGGGGGTAGAATGTCACCAGACATCTGCTTTGGGCCACCCTGGCCTGGGAATCTGGATCCACCCTGATTTAGGGTTTCACATCCTTTTAGATCTGCACACGTGGGCTTACTCCCAAGGGGGGGGGCTGACCTACTGTGGCCCGGCTCCCCACCAATATGGGCAGACAGGGCCTGAGTTGAATTAAATTTGGGTTGAGAAATAAAAAATGTGTCACACTTGTACCTGGTGTCTGCCCCATATGTCAAGTACCTGGCACATAGTAGGCCCTCGATGACACGGGCCCCGGGGCTGCAGCAGTAACTTGGCTGTGGTGGGGTCTTTCCTGTTCTGTCTCAAGCTGGGGGTGAAGCTATAGGACAGCAAGGGAGGGGAGAGGAATCGGCCTGACGATTGTCCTGGATGTTGGGACCCCCATGTCCCCCACAACTAGGGCCTGCCTCTTGGGAGGTTCTTAGAGTACCCAGGGGTACAGGGAGGCCCCCAAAGGGCCTGGAAGGTAAATGCATTGGTCTGGGTTCCTGTAATGCACCCCTAGCCCAGGCTCGCTTCCCTCCCAGTTGGCAGGGTGGGACCGTGGGCAGAATTCTCCCTTCCGCCTGCCCTCACAAGGCTAAGAGGCCAGGGAAGAGAGGGGTATGGACGCGGCTGGTGAACAGGACTTCCCATTTCCCACGTTACCTGGGGTCACTCCAGCATGGCTCTGGATTCCACTTTTGCTTTCTCAAGTCCCTAAGTCCTGGGCCTTGCCAGGGACCTTCCCCTGCCTGGGTCCTTCCTGTCTTGGTGTTGCACAAGGCCTGCAGCTGCCTCCCTGACCAGCCTCCGGGCTGGACAGTAGCGCCAAGGCTTTGGGAGAAGAGGAAGCAGCCCCTGAGATTGGATCCTCCTTTCTTGAGCCGGCAGATCCCCGGGGGCCAGCTGTGCCGAGAGCTCCTGGACTGTCTTCCTGCTCTGCTCCCCGCAGGTCCACGGTCCACTCCCTGCCGTGGAGCAGGTACTCCCTTCCCCGGGCCTGGAGGGTACGCATGGCGTTGGGAGTGGGGCTGGGCTGAGACTTGCTGGGGACATCTGGGTGCGAGCGCTGGCCCCAAACCACCTCCAGCCCAAGGCACTAATCAAAGCTGTGCTCATAACCCAAACCCCCCACCACCCCAAAACCTCCCAGCCCAAATCCCAATCCCAGTCCTAACAGCCCCAGTCCCTATCCCAACCTCACTACCTCCCGGCTCACTTGCTCAACCCCAACCACTTACTCATCATCTTCACCCAGTCCCAACCGACCCATCGTCCTGACCCCAACCCAACCCCAGCCCGCCTCGACCTTGTCCTCATCCCCTGCTCCCAGCTCCAGCCCATCACTCAACCTCAATATCCACCTCAATCCAAGCCTTAATTTGCTTCCAAATCCCAACCTGTTACCCGGACCCCAGGCCAGCTCTAATCTCCCCCTTGGTCCGACCCCATCCCACTCCATTCATCACGTCTCCATCCATCTGTCTGTGTGAGGAGCCTCAGCACTGTCCAGCTCAGCTCGGGGACTGGGCACTCCAGCTAGGAGCATTAAGAGGCAGATTAAGGAATGAAATTTGGGCCGGGCACAGTGGCTCACGCCTGTAACCCTAGCACTCTAGGAGGCCGACGCGGGCGGATCACTCAAGGTAAGGAGTTCGAAACCAGCCTCAGCAAGAGTGAGACCCCATCTCTACTCTAAATAGAAAGAAATTAATTGGCCAACTAAAACTATATATAAAAAATTAGCTAGGCATGATGGCGCATGCCTGTAGTCCCAGCTACTCAGGAGGCTGAGGCAGAAGGATTGCTTGAGCCCAGGAGTGTGAGGTTGCTGTGAGCTAAGTTGACGCCATGGCACTCTAGCCTGGGCAACAGAGTGAGACTCTGCCAAAAAAAAAAAAAAAAAAAAAAAAGAAATGTGGGCTGAACGCAGCAGCTCACGCCTGTAATCCCAGCATTCTGGGAGGCCGAGGCAAGCGGATCACTCAAGGTCAGGAGTTCAAGACCAGCCTGAGCAAGAGTGAGACCCCGTCTCTACTAAAAATAGAAAGAAATTAGCTGGACAGCTAAAAATATATAGAAAAAATGAGCTGGGCATGGTGGCACATGCCTGTGATCCCAGCTACTCAGGAGGCTGAGGCAGAAGGATCACTTGAGCACAGGAGTGTGAGGTGTGTGAGGTTGCTGTGAGCTAGGCTGATGCCATGGCACTTTAGCCCGGGCAACAGAGTGAGACTGTCTCAAAAAAAAAAAAAAAAAGGAATGAAATGTGAAATTCCCACTGCCCCTATCAAAGCCAATAGACATTATTTACAGATGCCGTGGCTCTTAGAATTAAACATCTGGCCTGTGTTTGGGGCTTTCCACTGTTCTGAAGATAATCTCTCCTACAATTGCCCATCTGTACCCTGACCGCCCATCCATGGGCGAGAACCCTCCAGCTGGCTGTATGGCCCTGTGTCCCCCCTCCTGCACTCTGATAGGGAAGTTGAGGAGAAGCCCTGGTGTCAGGAAACAGAAACCGAATCCTGCACCCGGACATAGCTGCCTATAGGGACACTGCTTCTGCCCTTTCTTCCCCAGCCAGACTTGACCTCTGGGATCAGAGGTCAGGGACCACAGCCCACCCTCCCCAGATGTCCTGGGACACTTGGTCTCAAACAGGCAGCAAACACGGGCACCCACTGTGTCCCAGGCCACCCAACCCATCCCCCTCACACAACACATGCCAATTCTAGGAAGGGGGAATTTAAAACCCTGTCTTCAGAGCGCCCAAGATTGGAGACACGAGGATGAACCTCTGGAACTCCCCGTCTAGGGGACAATGCTGTCCATAGAGTCATTGCCCAAGGGAGGGGTTGTTTTAGAGCAGTAGAGCTCCGCGTCCCCCATTACACACCCTGGAATCATTCCTCTACCACCAGGGGGCGCTGGGTGCCCACTAGGCCACCCAGCTCCAACCCACCCCAGGGGCACCATCCTCTCAACACCAGACTTTCGAACAGGTACAAGGATCTCTCTTTCTGGAGTTGTCCTTGCTCTTTCTTTTTCCAGGACAGTTCTCTGGATGAGGCTGGTCTTTGGTGGAACAGGCTGAGCCAATAAGCTGGCCTCCAGGGGGACTGACCCCTTTGGTGTTAGGGAGGGGCTAAGCATAGGTGACACCTACATGATGAGATTTGGGGTGGTTCTAGAAACAGCCCTTCCATAGGCTGCATTCTGGGATCAGTATGCCCACAACCCCACTGTTTGTCCTTCAGGTTTAGCATTGCCCCTTCCAAGACCCAAAATGAGGGCAGCTGGGGACAACATAGACGTATCTTGCTGCTGTCCCTGGCTGTAGACAAGCTGGCCCTGACATCCTGTGTGGCTCTGGGGCCTGGGGCCATGCCTGACCTCAGATGTGCCCAGCAGGCTGCCTTTCCTCGAGGCAAGGCGCCCAGGCGCTGGGGCCCAGCCTCAGCCAGTCCACAGTGGCTGAGGACCTGGTGTGGAGCTTGTGGGGACATCTTCCTGGATGAGAAGCAGGCCCAGGACTGCCCAGCAACTGGGGATGAGCCACTGGGCCTCCAAATGACCAGACCTGTCGGCTGGAGCAACCCAGCGAGAGGGCCATCTCCCCTGAGGAGCAGTGTTCTTCCTGTCCTGGCCATGCCCCTCCTGTGCTGCCTGCCAGGACACCCCTTCCACCCTCTGCACTTGTGCTTGGTCACCCTGACAGGCAACTGAGGCCCAGTCCAGGCCTTGGGTCTCTGCTCGGCCCCTCCGCAGGTGTGCCTCCTGGTAGCCATCAGAGCAGCTGGGCCCAACCCAGGAGGCAGATGGGCTGGGGGCTGGGAGCTGTCATGAGTTTCCTGTCCCCACTTCCAGGTTCCCCCCTCGCTCCGCCAAGTCAGCATTTAGGACCAGGGAGGACTGTAAAGTTGGCAACATGTGCATGTGGTAAAATACACATAATTAAAATTCTATATTTCAACTCTTTTTAAGTATACACTCCAATGGCATTAAGCACATGCACAATATTGTGTAACCATCACCACTGTCTATTTCCAGAACTTTTTCATTAAACATTAACTCCCCTTTCCCCCTTCCCCCAGCCCCTGGTAACCTCTATTCTACTTTCTGTCTCTACGAATGTGCATATTCCGGATATTTCTTGTAAGCGGAATTACACAATATTTGCCCTTTTGTGTCTGGCTGATGTCACTTAGCATGTTTTCAAGGATCACTCGTGTTATAACACGTGTCAGAATTTCATTCCTCCTTATAGCTATTGATGTTCCACTGTAGGTACAGACTACGTTTTGTTTATCTGTGTATTCGTTGATGGACACTTGGCCTGGTTCCACCTTTTGGCTATTTGTGAATAATGCTGCTATGAACATTGGTGTTAGAGGTGTCTGGGTCCCTGTTTTCAATACTTTCGGGTATACACCTAGGAGTGGAGTTGGTGGATCATCTGGCAATTCTATGTTGACTTTTTGAGGAAAGGCCCAACTGTCTTCCACAGCAGCTATACCATTTTACACCTCACCAGCAATGTACAAGGGGTTCTGATTTTGCCACATCCTCACCAAAATTTGTTACTTTCTGTTTTACTTTGTTTGTTCATTAATAGCCATCTTAGTGGGTGTGAAGTGGTAGCTCATTGTGGTTTTGATTTGCATTTCTTTTTTTTCTTTCTTTTTTATTTTTTAAGAGACAAAGTCTCACTCTGTTGCCCAGGCTGAAATGCAGTGGTGCAATCATAGCTCATTGTAGCCTCTAACTCCTGGACTCAAAGTGATCCTCCTGCCTCAGCCTCTTGAGTAGCTAGGACTTCAGGTGCACACAACCATGCCTGGCTAATTTTTTTCAAACAGTTTTTGTATATACAGGGTCTTGCTATGTCACCCAGGCTGGTCTCAAACTCTTGGCCTCAAGCAATCTTCCTGCCTCAGTGTCCCAAAGTGCTGGGATTACAGGCATGAGCCACCTGTGCCTGGCCTGAGTTGCATTTCCCTATTGGCTAATGGTATTGGGCATCTTTTTATGTGCTTATTGGCCATTTGTATATCTTCTTTGGAGAAATGTCTGCTCAAGATTTTACCCATTTTTTGAGTTGGGTTGTTTTTTAGTTGTTGAGTTGTAAGAATTCTTTATATATTCTGGATATTGATCCCTTATCAGATATGTGATTTGCAAATATTTTCTCCCATTCTGTTCATTGTCTGTTTTTTCACTTTCTGGATAGTGTTCTTTGATCCATAAAACTTTTTAATTTTGATGAAGTCCAACTTACCTATTTTTTCTTTTATTGTCCATGCTTTTGATGTCATACTTAAGAATGCATTGCCTAATCTGTGGTCATGAAGATTCCACCTATGTTTCCTTCTGAGAGTTTTATAGTTTTAGTTATATATGTTTCTAGCATCTCTCCCTTTTAGACTCAGATCTGTGGTGTCCCGTAGAGTCCCTTCGCTCCATGGCAGAAAGCCTGCCTACTTGTGGGAGGTACACAGTAGACATTTCACTCACATTTGTGGGGCATGTGTTCTGCGGGGCCTTTGTGCTGCCTGTCACACCCAGACTTGCCCTGTCACCTCCCCACCCCAACTGCAAACTCCCAAAGACCACACCCCTCTCTTACCCACCAAGGGGTTTAGTGAGTGCCTGGGGGGCTCTTCCCTGCTGTGGGGCACATGTCCTCAGTCCTAGGTCCTGACACGTGAGCACTCACTAGCTGCTAGGGACAAAGCAAGCACAGAGATAGCTCTGGGGTGACTGCAGGAACCTCAAAGGGGAAGTTCCAGTTGGATACCAAATTCACACTTCACCTTGAAGGCTGAATAATGTTTCAGTAGACAGAGATTATTTGCAGTGGGGACAGGGTGGGGAAGCTAGGGAGCTTATAGGCAGACAGGACTGGCCCCAGAGTGGGTCTGTGGGGAATAGGGAATGGGGGCAGAGCCAGAGGCAGGAAATGGAGACTTTCCACATCTCATGGGCAATGGGGAGCCACAGAAGGTTCCTGAGCCGGGGGGAGGGGGGGAGTGACTCTTAAAGTCAGAATATCGCTAAGTCCAGTTAAGTTCCATTATGGCCTATAGCTGGTAAAGCAGGTGGCAGGGAGACATGTCTCAAGTAAGAACCCATCATTCTATCTGGTTGCCTTAGAATAAGTCCCTGGGCTCCAGTTCCTGTTGGCCTGGGTGGTGGAGAGAGGGCAGGGGAGGGAGGAGGGAGAGACAGCTGTTCATCTGCCCTGGGGTGGTATCCTTGAGGGGCTGGGAAAGCAGAACTAGGGGTGGGGCCCAGGGACACACAGAGGGCTTTCTGGCGCACACCAGCAAGTGAGGGCATTCTTGGGCGCAGCCTGAGCCGGGAACCAGGGCTCCTGGCTCCCTGCTGGTGGCTGCCCCACAGAGGACCTTACGAGCCCTGCCCTCTTGCTAGATTGGCCAGCCATAGCAGGTGGGGACAGAGGCCTGGACTCTCCGCAGGCGCTGGGGCTGAAGTGCTTGGAGGTGTCCTTAGGAGGCCCCTGTGTACCCGGCCAGCCCGGTGCACACCACCCTCTTAGGCACCAGAACCAGCTCAAGACCCTGCTATGGGCTTCCTGCTGCAGCTTCTCCTCCTGGCTGCCATCTTCCCGCCAGGTAAGCTTCGAGGGCCTAGTGCCTGTCTCCCAGGGCCCGGCCTCTGTAAGTCCAGCCCTGGGAAGACTGGACTCTGCCTGGGTCACAGGTTTGGCTGCTGAGGTCAAGGGAGGGCCCAGGGAGGCAGCAGCAGGATGCTGGGCAGGAGGTGAAGGTCCCTCTGGTGGCCACCCTGCCAGGCCTTTGAGCAGCCCCAGGGCAATGACCATCCCCGCGGCACTGAGAGGGCTGCCCTAGGGGTGCGTTGCTGGGGGGCAGGGCAGGGTTTGGGGACCCATCTGGGTCATCATCCCTGGGGCAGATCCCAGGGTTCTGTGGTGTCCCCAGGCCTGTATCACTCTCCTCTCTGTCCCGCTCTGTGCCTCCCCCAGGGTGGGCCTCCTGGGGCGTCTCCAGCCCCCAGGAAGTGCCAGGCGTGAAGGGGTCCTGCCTGCTCATCCCCTGCGTCTTCAGCTTCCCTGCCGACGTTCAGGTGCCCGACGGCATCACAGCCATCTGGTACTACGACTACTGGGGCAATCGGCAGGTGGTGGTCCACACGGGCGACCCCAAGCTGGTGGAGGCGCGCTTCCGCGACCGCGCCCAGCTGTTGGGGCGCCCCGAGCACAAGGTGTGCAACCTGCTGCTGAGGGACCTGCAGCCCGAGGACTCCGGCTCCTACAACTTCCGCTTCGAGATCAGTGAGACCAACCGCTGGTTAGATACGAAAGGCACCTCGGTCACAGTGACGGGTGAGGAGTGAGTGGGGTGGCCTGGCTGCTGCCTGGAAGGGACTCCCAAGTGCTCCTGGCTCCACCGGCTCACAGCCCCGCCCCTGCCCTGAACCCCAGCCGGTGTCAGCCTTAGGTCCAGCCTCAGCCGAGCCCCGGGCCTGCTTCCCCTGCGTTCACCCAGGTGGGGCTGGGGTGGGAAGCTGCCTCTCCTCCCCCTCAGCTGGGGCTTCCGGGGCAGGAGGTCTCAGGTGTGGCAAAGGGGAGTCCTAAGTTCTCCTGCCTTTGTCCTCAGAGAAGCCCAGGGCCCCCACCATTACCTCCCCGGCAATGCTGCTCGAGGGCTCACAGGTGGACTTCAACTGCTCCACGCCCTACGCCTGCCAGCCAGAGCAGATCAGCCTGCAGTGGCAAGGCCAGGACGCCACTCGCTCTGTCATCTCCAGTCTCCAGAACCTCGAGCCCACCGGCATCACCCACATGGAGACCCTCCACATGGCCCTGTCTTGGCAGGACCACGGCCGGACGCTGCGCTGCCAGCTCTCGGTGGCCGACCACAGGATCCAGAGCGAGATTCACCTCCAAGTGCAGTGTGAGTTACAGGGGGCCACACCCTCATGACTGAGCACACATGTGGCTCCCTGATGGAAAGCAGTCCCTTTCTACCATAGGAACCGAGCCCGCGCCCCTGGTGGCAAAGCCGGGCTGCACTTGGGTCCCCAGGGCAGGGCAGGTGGAGAGAGAGAGTGCTGAGCCCTAAGAGCCGTGTGTGATGGTTCCCTCCTACCTCCTGCTGGCTTCCAAGGGGCTTGTCCCCGAGGCCAGGCTGGACAGAGAAAGGGAGACACAAAGGGTCAGGGAACAGGAGCTCCCACACACAGAGCTTTGGGGTTGGCAACAGTGCCCTGTGAGTCAGCCCAGCTCTGGAGGATACTGGAGAGGTGGGGTTCACCGCTTTCCTGCCGTGAGCCTGCTCATGGTCACGGGGACCGGGGCATCACCCAGGCACGGTTGAGGGTCAGCGTGAAGAAAGCCCAGGTTCCCATTGGTTATGCATCTTCCCATCTTAGGAAAACAGGTCAGCCTGTTCTAGAACAACAACACTTCACAGGCATCGGGCTGCTGGCTCCACCACCCTTGAGACCAGCAAACTTTGGTTAAGTTACTTGCCTCCTAGGCCCCTTTTTCTTGTCTATATGGTGGAGATAACAATAAATAGTTCTTATCTCATAGATTGTGATGAAAATGAAAGGAGATAGGCCAGGTGTGGTGACTCACACCTGTGATCCTAACATTCTGGGAAGCCAAGGTAGGAGGAGACTGCTCGAGGTCAGGAGTTCAAGACCAGCCCGAACAAGAGCAAGACCCTAAAAATAGAAATATTAGCTGGGCATTGTGGCGCACACCTATAGTCCCAGCTACTCGGGAGGCTGAGCCAGAAGGATTGCTTGAGCCCAGGAGTTTGAGGTTGCTGTGAGCTAGGCTGATGCCTCGACACTCTAGCCTGGACAACAGAGTGAGACTCTGTCTCAAAAAAAAAAAAAAAAAGAAAGAAAGAAAATGAAAGGAGATGACCTGGGTAAGGTAGTTATTAATAGAAGAGTGCCTGGCATATAGTAAACACTCGGAAATGTCAGGTTTTATTAATACTAACCTATTTGCACAGAGAGAGGCTTTGGAACAAGAGTTAAAGAAATGCAGTTTCCGCTGGGCGTGGTGGCTCATGCCTGTAATCCTAGCACTCTGGGAGGCCGAGGTGAGTGGATTGCTCGAGGTCAGGAGTTCGAAACCAGCCTCAGCAAGAGCAAGACCCTGTCTCTACTAAAAATAGAGAGAAATTAATTGGCCAACTAATATATATAGAAAAAATTAGCCGGGCATGGTGGTGCATGCCTGTAGTCCCAGATACTTGGGAGGCTGAGGCAGGAGGATCGCTTGAGCCCAGGAGTTTGAGGTTGCTGTGAGTTAGGCTGACACCACGGCACTCAGTCTAGCCTGGGCAACAAAGCAGCACTCTGTCTCAAACAAAAAAAAAAGAAAAAAGAAATGCAGTTTTTTTGTATTTTTGGCCCCTTCCTTATAAACTGGGTGACTGTTCTCAGAGCTAATGTGACACTGCCTGTGGCCCCTGCCTATTAGGTGGCTGGCTCTTTATCAGTAGTTACCACAGGCCACTAAAGCCAGCAGTGAGGTGCCCGTGCCCCTGTCCGTGGAACTCACCCCCAAATAGAACAGGGGCAAAGGACAGCATCAGGAAATGAAAAGTGCAGACTGGACTCGAAGCCCAGCATCACATGATCGGCTGTCCGTGGAGAAGGAGGGGTCAGGAATGTGTTAGGGCTGGCGGTGGGATACGGGATGGACGGACAGAGCTTGTCCTGGACAGGGGGACGAATGGGACTGATGTTTTATCTGAGCATGCTTCCTCAGGGCAGAGCTCTGAAAGGGAGGAGAGGAGCATGTGCAACCCCTGCCCTCCCCACGCGCCTTACCCAACACCCCCGTCGTGCTTGCAGATGCCCCCAGGGGCGTGGAGATCTTCCTCAGCCCCTCGGGGCAGAACATCCTTCCAGGTGACCTGGTCACACTCGCCTGCCAGGTGAACAGCAGCTACCCCAGAGTCAGTTCCATCAAGTGGCTCAAGGATGGGGAGCAACTCGAAGCCGAGGGTCTGGTGCTGCAGTTGCCCCGGGCAGCCTGGAGCGATGCTGGCGTCTACACCTGCCAAGCTGGGAATGGCGTGGGTTCTTCCACCTCCCCTCCCCTCAGCCTCCACGTCCTCAGTGAGTCCTGGGGAGGCTGGGTCGCCGTCACAGGGCAGGGAGGGGTCCAGGGTGCTGGCTGAGGGAGCCAGGCCAGGACAGAGCCAGAGGCTGGCATAGCTTGGTGCCTCCTGAGACGCAGGGGTGTGAGACAGATGGCAGTACCTCCCTGCAGGGGGCGATGTCAGGAGAGCCCTGGGGAACAGGACAGAGAGATGTGGGGAGACTCTGCTGCAGAGGCAGGGGGGTGCAGTGTGCAGAGATTGAGGCTGTCTGCGCCCAGGGGACTCTGGGGGGCTGGGCTGGGAGTTAGCTGGGATCCCCTCAGTGTGCCCCATGCTACCCTCACAGTGGCTGAGATCCAGGTGAGCCCAGCAGGCCCCATCCTGGAGAACCAGACGGTGACACTGGTCTGCAGCACACCCAAGGAGGCGCCCAGCAATCTCCGCTACAGCTGGTACAAGAACCAGGTCCTGCTGGAGGATGTCCACTCCCCTACCCTCCAGCTGCACTCCGCCACCAGGGCCGACACCGGCTTCTACTTCTGCGAGGTGGGGAACGCCCAGGGCAGCGAGCGCTCAGGCCCTGTCAGCGTGGTGGTCAGCCGTAAGTGGCCAGGCTGGGTGGCCCTGGACATCAGCCAGAGCAGGGCCAGGCGCTGGAGCCCCTGCAGGAGGTTGGGGCATGGGAGCTTCAAGGCCACTTGACCTGGAACAAGAGTGAGACCCCGTCTTTACTAAAATAGAAAAAATTAGCCAGGTGTGGTGGCATGTGCCTATAGTCCCAGCTACTCGGAAGGCTGAGGCAGAAGGATCGCTTGAGCCCAGGAGTTTGAGGTTGCTGTGAGCTAAGCTGACACCATGGTGCTCTAGCCTGGGTGACAGAGCAAGACTCTGTCCCCAAAAGCAAAAAACAAAAAAAAACAAAAAATCCCACACATGTATTCACTCTCTCTATATACATACACATATGTTATCTATCTGCTTGCCTACATTTTTACATACCTGCAGTTGCAAACATACTGCCCCTCTACCCCTAAATTCCTCAGTGTGTTGTAAGATCATTCTTACATAACCACAATGCAATGATCACAGCAAGGAAATTTCACATTGATAGCAGACTATTATCTAATCCACAGCCTATATGCAATTTTACCAATGGACCCAATAATGTCTTTTATAGCCATTTTTTTCCCTGGTCCAAGATCCAATCCGGGCTCATGCATTGCATTCAGTCATCATGTCCCTTCGTTCTCCTTTAATCTGGGGACGAGTCGTCAGTCTTTCCTTACCTTTCTTGACATTGAAACTTGAGGAGTACAAGCAGCTGTTCTGTGGAGGTCCCTCAATATGCATCTGTCCCACTCGAATAGACTGAGGCCACGCGCTTCAGGCAGGAAGGCCAGGACGTGCTGCCGAGTCCACCTTCATGCATCCTGATGCCAACGTCAGCTTGTCCCACTGCTGATGATCACTCTGTCCCTCGGTCAAGGTGCTGTCCCAGCCAGGTCTCTCCAAGAGTGGAGCCCTTGATCCCGCCTGCAGGGTGCCCACAAAGCTTGACTGAGACAACACAGTGATTTGCCCAGCGCAGCCAGGGACAGAAGTATATTTACCTGGTGCTTGGGAGCTTCTGGGATCTCCTGCTCTCCCAGTGCACTGTGGGTCAAAGGGGTGCAGGGGCCGTAAAGGGGTGTGGGGGCTATAATGGGGTGTCCAAGGAGTGGCCCTGCCTGCAGGCGACAGGCCCCCCTCTCACCTCCACACAGACCCTCCCCTTGCTCCGGACCTGACTGCCTTCCTGGAGACACAGATGGGGCTTGTGGGCATCCTTCACTGCTCCGTGGTCAGCGAGCCCCGGGCCACGCTGGTGCTGTCCCATGGGGGCCTTATCCTGGCCTCCACCCCCGGGGAGAGTGACTACAGCTCACGCTTCAGGGTCTTCTCTGCTCCCAACTCCCTGCGCCTGGAGATCCGAGACCTGGAGCCAGCTGACAGTGGGGAGTACAAGTGCTTGGCCACCAACTCCCTTGGAAATGCGACCTCCACCCTGGACTTCCATGCCAATGGTAAGATGGGCATGGGTGGCTGGGGCAGTGGAGGGAGCTAGAGGAGGGGGCCTGCTCTGGCCTCTTGCTTTCCAGAAGTCCAGTGGACTCAACTGAGGGGCTGAACTAGCTGGCTAGGTCACATCAAAAACCTGGGCTATACAGTCATCCCCACCTCAGGGGTTCCTGGGAGTCAAGGCAAAAAGGGAAACATGAAGCAGGTTGCATCATTCCTCTTGCACATACTCTGACTCTAAACTTGGAGGGTGTTTCATAGGCATTTGTTTATTTGTTGTGTAAGAACCCGTCGGGGCAGGCTCTGTGCTGGGAGTCAGAGGCAGGAGGTAGAATAGAGCAGTGGGGGCGTCCAGCTCGCGGTGCATGCAGTGCCTTCCCTCCTCCTGAGGCCAGCGTAGACACAGATAATTGATCAAGCCAGATTTTTGACATAAGCCTGGGTTCTGGCTCAGAACCCCTTTCAGGTGGGGTGAAGCCAGCTGCTACCAACAGATCCGAACTGGTGTCCACGGCCTCCCAATCCACTACAAAGCCCAGACCTGCCCACGATCCTGTGGGAGAGGAGAACCCTGGGCGGCATGGAGGGTGGGGTGCTCACAGCCTGTCCCTCTTCGCCAGTGGCCCGCGTGCTCCTCAGCCCGGCAGCAGAGGTGGTGGAGGGGCAGGCGGTGACGCTGAGCTGCAGGAGCGGCCTGAGCCCCGGGCCCGACACCCGCGTCTCCTGGTACCTGAACGGAGCGCTGCTGCTCGAGGGGCCCCACAGCAGCCTCCTGCTCCCTGCGGCCTCCAGCAGCGACGCCGGCTCATACCACTGCCGCGCCTGGGACGGCCACAGCGCCAGCGGGCCCTCGTCGCCGGCCGTCCTCACCGTGCTCTGTGAGCAGCCTCGCCGCAGACTCCTGCCTGCCCTGGGGAGGGTCAGCCCGCGGGGGCCCCACCAGCCACCTCCACCTCCTCCCTGTCCTGCCCTGGGTCTACATCAGGGGGTGGTCACAGGCCTGGCCAGCACGGGCCTCTCCACGCAGGGCTGAAGCTGGGAGCGAGGCTGGCGCCTTCTCTACCTTCCCGTGTCCTACACACCAGTCCCAGCCCTCTGGCATGCTTTGCCCCCACCTCATCCCACTGTGGGTGCCCCGGCCAGAGTGCGTCTTCCCGGTGGGCCCAGGGACCCGCACTCCTGCATCCGTGCACACGCCCCACAGCCTGCGCCCTCATGGGCTCCCACAGACACCAGGGCACAGCCCTCCGGCACGGGGACAGACCAGTCCCTCTGCGTCCCGTGAAGGGGGGATGTTCCATGTTAGCCCGAGGGCTGAGTAATTCCAGAAGGCCTCCCCTGACACCTGAGTGCGGGGGCCACATCCCGGGACCGTCAGAGGGGCAGCCGCCTCTCCAGGGTTTTCTGGTGTCTGAGTGAAGCCACGTGTGGGCCTTAGCGAGGGGTCTCTTTCAGTCATCTGTCTCTGGAAGCCTCTGGAAAGAGGCCGTTTGAGGCAGTAGCTGGTATCCCAGGAGCTGGCTTGGAGATGGGAGATGAGGGGCGGGAGGGATCCGGGGAGGCTCGATGGTGAGGAGCGGGGTGCAGGGTGGGAGCAGGGAGCACGACCTCGGGGACTATTTCCATGGCTGCTGGCCCCATCCAGCGCCTTCATCCCAGCTAGGAAACGGAGCTCCTTCTGGGAAGACTGGTCGGCACCAGCACACAGCTTAGCTTGAGGCACGTGGGCTGAATTCCACCCACCTTGGCCTTGCTGTCCTTGCACAGTGCACAGCTCGGGGACATGGCTTTGTCCAGCGTGTTCTGGAAGTCCGCACAGCCCTGGCAGTGGCCCTGGGACGAGTGCCCATGTTCTCCCTCCCTACAGACGCCCCTCGCCAGCCCACGTTCTCCACCCGGCTGGACCCTGACGCTGCTGGGGCCGGGGCTGGACGGCGAGGCCTCCTCTTGTGCCGCGTGGACAGCGACCCCCCAGCCTTGCTGCGGCTGCTCCACAACGACCGTGTTGTGGCCACTTCCCTGCCATCGGGGGGTGGCTGCAGCACCTGCGGGGGCTGTTCCCCACGCATGAAGATCACCAAAGCCCCCAACTTGCTGCGCGTGGAGATCGCAGACCCGGTGCTGGAGGATGAGGGCGTGTACCTCTGTGAGGCCAGCAACACCCTGGGCAACGCCTCCGCCTCGGCCACCTTCAACGCCCAGGGTGAGTCGGGACAGTGGATGGGTGGCTTGGGGGCAGGGGCTGGAGCTCTGGGCTATTCCTCTGCTCCAAGGAGAGTCCATTTGGGCAAAACCACATCTGTCCAGCAGTGGAAAGAGGCACAGCTGCCCTCTGTGCAGGACGGGGGACTCTGGGAGCCTCACTGCCCCTCCACGGTACAGAAAGCCAAAGCTGCTCTTTCTCGTGCTCAGTTTTCGGGCAGGGCCCAGGCCTGGGGTTGCAGGGCTGATCTCAGAGGACAGCTCCCCAGCTGGGCCAGTTGGGCTGTCTCGTCCTCCCCCTTACTGCATGCCCCCTTGCCCGGCACCCCCACGTTCCCCAGGGCCTGCCTGCCCCAGGCTTCCCTGTGAGTGAGTTTGCTCCCCCACCTGCTATGGGCACCCCAGGGGGCCTCCGCCCCATCCTTCCAGGCAGGGAGGCTGGCCCAATGGTGCCTGGGACGGGGGTGAGCCTGTGCTACCTGCTCTCCAGCCACGGTCCTGGTGGCCACGCCGTCGGACACGGTGCTGGAGGGCGCAGAGGCCAACCTGACCTGCAATGTGAGCCGGGAAGCCGCCGGCAGCCCCGCCAACTTCTCCTGGTTCCGGAATGGGGCGCTGTGGGCCCAGGGCCCCCTGGAGACCATGACACTGCTGCCTGTGGCCAGGACCGACGCTGCCCTCTACGCCTGCCGAATCCTCACCGAGGCTGGAGCCCAGCCGTCTGCTCCCGTGGTCCTGAGTGTCCTCTGTGTGTGTCCGGCAAGGGCAGCTGGGGACTTGGAGGATGGAGGGGTGGCCTGGGGGAAACAAGAGCGTGGCCTGGGCGTGGGACAGGGTGGGCAGGGGGAGAGGGACACAGTGTTAGAGCTGGAATGTGGTGGGCAGGGGTGGCCTGAGCTGCCCCTATTCTTGCAGATCCCCCTGACCCTCCAAAGCTGTCGGCCCTGCTGGATGTGGACCAGGGCCACATGGTCGTGTTTGTCTGCACTGTGGACAGTCGCCCCCTTGCCCAGCTGGCCCTATTCCATGGGGAGCGTCTCCTGGCCACCAGCCTGGGACCCCAGGTCCCCTCTGGTGGCCGGCTCCAGGCCAAGGCCATGGCCAACTCCCTGCAGCTAGAGGTCCGGGAACTGAGCCTTGAGGACTCTGGCAGCTACCGCTGCGAGGCCACGAATGTTCTCGGATCGGCCAACACCTCACTCTTCTTCAAAGTTCGAGGTTAGTGTCAGTCTTCTGATGATGTGGTAGACCCTGGTGCCTTGGGGACCACTTTGGTCAGAGTTTGGGCTGGATGCTATGGATTCTGTGCAGAAATGTGAGTCTTTTTCAGCCCTGGTTGGGACAGCCAGCGGAAGGCCTCTCTTTGCCTCTTGCTCATTTTCACTTGTAATAATGACAGCAGCCACTAGGAGGCAGTGGCAATTGTACAAGTTGGTTTGCTTGGTTGGAGCACTTTCTGATATTTATTTTGTAATAATATAATTTTGTTTTATATTTATATTAATATAATTTACACCTACACATACAAATATACGTATATATCTATAGTCTTCTATATATTCATATTCTTCATTCATAAATATATGCACATATCCGTCTACATGTAATATGCATAAATATTCTCTATAAAAATTCTCTCTAAACAAATAAACCAGGAGAAAGGAAAGATAATATCCATAATACAAAAGCCAAAGAAAACTGCATGCTGTTTCTCCCACAATGACAAACAGCATCAAGTTTTAGACATTTACTTTGGGCCTTGGTTCTATGTATCTTTTCTTATTTATCACAGGCAGAGAAATTAAGGGTCAGAGCTGGGCACTGTGTATCACACCTGTAATCCTAGCACTCTGGGAGGCCGAGGCGGGATGATCCCTTGAGCTCAGGAGTTCGAGATCAGCCTGAGCAAGAATGAGACCCCATCTCTACTAAAAATAGAAAAAATATTAGCTGGGCATGGTGGCTCATGCCTGTAGTCACAGCTCCTTGGGAGGCTGAGGCAGGAGGATTGGTTGAGCCCAGGAGTTTGAGGTTGCTGTGAGCTAGGCTGACGCCATGGCACTCTGGCCTGGGCAACAGAGTGAGACTCTGTCTCAAAAAAACAGAAAAAAGGAGAAAAAAAGAGAGAGAATTGAGGATCAGAGTTTTAGGAGCTTGCTCATGGTCACATGACCCTACTAGCTCTGGACTATCTCAGTTCTAGTCCCAGACACGGCCTGTGCCGTCACTGACCCCTCCAGCCATTCTTCCCCCTTCCTCCCCCTACCCAAGGCTCCTCCTGCTTTAGATCCTGCCAAGGAGCTGCCCGTTGCCTGGTCCCCAGTCCCTGGGCTCTCCTGGCCTGGAGCCTGGGTGCAGAACTGGGCCGGAGAGACCTGGAGAACACTCAAGGCCAACAGCTGCTGACCTCCCCTTCCAAGCCCTCAGCCACCCATGCTGAGTCCAGCTCCTGGTCGGGACAGTGGCCCTGGGCATGACCTAAGTCCCTCCCTTTTCAGTGCTTTTGTCAAAAAATAACACATGCAGCAGGTGCTGTGCCTGACACTGGGGTTATAGGTCACACGGTACCCAGGAGGCTCACATTCTGCTAGGCGAGAAAGGACTGACAGCAACGCCATCCCACCAGGTGGAGGGTGGGGAACACAAGGATGGAGACTGTGAGGGCAAGTGGGGAGCAGGAGGGGCAGAGGCAGTTGCTGATGTGGCCCCGGCCTGGAGGGGACGCCCAAGGTCGGGTCGTGCAGTCCCGTGTGGACACACACAGTCCCAGCTGTGGGAGGTATGGCCGGGAGCCCTCACCTGCTCTTGGTTTCCCCCTGCAGGAGCCTGGGTCCAAGTGTCCCCATCACCTGAGCTCCGAGAGGGCCAGGCCGTGGTCCTGAGCTGCCAGGTACCCACAGGAGTCCCCGAGGGCACCTCATACCACTGGTATCGGGATGGCCAGCCCCTCCAGGAGTCGACCTCAGCCACGCTCCGCTTTGCAGCCGTAACTTTGGCACAAGCTGGGGCCTACCACTGCCAAGCCCAGGCCCCAGGCTTGGCCAGCACAAGCCTGGCCGCCCCCGTCAGCCTCCACGTGTCCTGTAAGGGCTTTTATCCCGTCCACAGGGGGGGAGGGAATGCAGGCCCCTGGTCCTGGGCTCCGCCCCTGTGACAGAGCCTTGGATGAGGGACCCTTGGCTGGGCCCTGACCACTCCCCACCCCATGTAGATGCCCCACGCCAGGCCACGCTTACCGCCCTGATGGATACAGGCCCTGGGCGCCTGGGCCTCCTCCTGTGCCGTGTGGACAGCGACCCTCCGGCCCAGCTGTGGCTGAGCCACGGGGACCACCTCGTGGCCTCCACCCTACAAGGCGTGGGGGAACTTGCAGGCAGCTCTCCCCGGCTGCAGGCGGCTGTGGCCCCCAACACACTGCGCCTGGAGATCCACAAGGCGGTGCTGGAGGACGAGGGCGTCTACACCTGCGAGGCCACCAACACCCTGGGCAACGCCTCTGCCTCGGCCGACTTCAATGCCCAGGGTGAGAGAGAGAGTGTGTGTGTGTGTATGTGTGTGTGTCTCCTTTAAGAGAGGAGTGGAGGTGGGAGAGGGTTCTAGAAGCTTGGGAGCATGAGGATAGTGTCCATTCCCACTCTTCTAAGGGCAGCGGTCTCCAGACGTGGGTTTCATGGAAGGGCCTTTTGTAAACACAGAATTTCACATGCATGCCCAGTGGATAAAACTAAACAGAAAAGGGCTCTCAAGGAGAAGCCATGACAGGGCAGGGCAGGGCAGGCCTGTGTTCTCCCCACTTGCCACCACCAGGGTCAGGAAGGGGCTCGGGGTGCGCTAGGGCTCTGCAGAACTCCACCTGCGACCACTCAAGAGATAATGAGCCGCTTCCCAAGCTTGACCCCGAACCCTGTCCCCGGGTGGGCTACCCGAGGCTCACAGCGGGTAAGGTGCTCCCCAGCGGTAGGGACAAGACTCCGCGTGGAGACAGGCGGCTATACGCAGCCTCAGGCCCTCACTGGTGTCCTCCCTCTCCCCAGCGGTGAGTGTGCAGGTGTGGCCCGGGGCCACCGTGCAGGAAGGGCAGCTAGTGAATCTGACCTGCCTTGTATGGACCACCCGCCCGGCCCAGCTCACCTACATGTGGGACCAGGATGGGCAGCAGCGCCCGGGTGCCCGCTCTATCCTCCTGCCCAACGTCACAGTCTCAGACGCTGCCTCCTACCGCTGCGGTGTGGGGCTCCCTGGCCAGGCACCCCGCCTCTCCAGATCTGTCACCCTGGACGTGCTCTGTGAGTTCCGCTGGATGCAGAGTGGGACAATGACAGGAGCCCACAGGGATCAGGACATGGCCAGAGCCCCATAGGTGTCCAGCCAGGGCATTCGGTCCCAAGCCGGCCAGCAGACCATGGGATAAGGGGGGACCCTGGGGATAAGCCCTCTCCCGGCAGAGCCCCAGATTGAGCAAGTGGGGGCCCTTGGGGTGGGAGTGAGGGCCCTCCTGGGTTCGAATGCCAGCTGCAGCTGGCCTCCTCTAGGCTTCTGGACTCCTGTATGCCTCTCATGCCCCTGCAGACGCGCCCCGCACCCTGCGCCTGACCTACCTGCTGGAGAGCCGTGGCGGGCGGCTGGCCCTGGTACTGTGCACTGTGGACAGCCGTCCGCCTGCCCAGCTGGCCCTCAGCCATGCTGGCCGCCTCCTGGCCTCCTCGACTACAGCATCTGTCCCCAACACCCTGCGCCTGGAGCTGCGGGAGCCACAGCCCAGGGACGAGGGTCTCTACAGCTGCTCCGCCCACAGCCCTTTGGGCCAGGCCAACACGTCCCTGGAGCTGAGGCTAGAGGGTGAGGCCAGGCCCAGGCCAAGCGCACAGGGGTGGGAACCAGCGTGGTGTCCGGCGGGTCCCAACCGACCCTTGCCTCCTTGGCACAGGTGTGCGAGTGACCCTGACTCCATCGGCTACCGTGCCTGAGGGGGACCCCATAACAGTGACCTGCGAGGACCACGCTGCCCACCCGCCCACCCTCTATGCCTGGTACCACAATGGCCGTTGGCTGCAGGAGGGACCCACCACCTCGCTCTCGTTCCCGGCGGCCACACGGGCTCACGCAGGCGCCTACTCCTGCCAGGCGCAGGACGCACAGGGCACCCGCAGCTCCCGGCCTGCTGCCCTGCAAGTCCTCTGTGAGCTGCCCGGGGTGAGGGGGGTGGAGGGTGCTTCTGGGCCCTGGTGGGGGCAGGCCCAGGCCTACAGTGGGCCCAGGAACGGGCATGTGGGGAAAGAAGGCCATAGGCACTGGGGAAAGGGACCCGTGACCCTACACAGCTTGCCTGGAGGACTCTGCCCACAGGACTCCTGAGCACGTGTCACTTCTAGGAAGTGACCATTTGTCCAGAGGCTGCAGGCTTGCCAACATCAGGGCACCCAGGTGGGCAGTACAGGGCACCCAGGCAAGGGCCCCATCTGTCCCTGCCTTGCCCCCAGATTCCCCTCGGGATGCTGTCCTGTCCTCCTTCCGGGACTCGAGGGCCAGGCCCCCTAGGGTCATGGTACAGTGCACCGTGGACAGCGAGCCACCTGCTGAGCTGACCCTGTCTCGAAATGGCAAGGTGCTGGCTGCTAACTACGGGGTCCACAGCTCTGCGTCAGAGACAGGCTATATCCAGGTGGCCCGAAACGCCTTGCGGCTGCAGGTACAAGATATGCCCACGGGTGATGATGACGCCTATGTTTGCACAGCCCGAAACTTACTGGGCTCAGTCAGCACCAGCGGGCAGCTGCAGGTGGAAGGTGAGCAGGAGAGTGGGGAGGATGAGGGGGCTCAGGTTTGGGGTTCAGCTGGAGCCCATATGAGGGGCTGGGGCTCCCACTAGAGGGATAGCCCTGCCTTGAAAAGCCTAATCCAATGGAGGAGGCAAGCTCCTGCCAAAGTGGGTGGCCCAGACTAAGGGGCTGATGCAGACTTGCCCTTGGAGATCTTCCTAGCAGGCAGGGGAGGTGTTGCAATGCCCAGGGACAGCTTGGGTGGAGGGGAGATATAGCCCTGTCCCCACAGAGCCCAATCTGGGGGCAGGGCACAGACCTGACCTGGGGAAGCCTGGGGTGGGGAGAGAGGCACAGCCCTGACCGCAGGGAGCCCAGTCTGCAGGCAAGACAGCCACATCCATCAGGAAGCCATGTGGACAAGGAAAGTGCTGCCCTGTCCTTGAGCCCCCAGTGCAAGGATGAGACAGTCCTATTCTTAGGATCAGTCTGAGGGGGACACACTGCTCCACCTTGGAAGGCCCAGATCCTAAGTCAGATCCAAGCCTTCCCACACGTGCAGAGCCCTCTCAGAGGTCCCGCCCAGCGGCTCCGGCCCCCCAGGCCTGCAGATCCCCAGCCCCCTCCCCGTACTCTCCCCACAGGCGTGCGTGTGGTGGCCGAGCCAGGCCTGGACGTGCCTGAGGGCACCGCACTGAACCTCAGCTGCCGGCTCCTTGGTGGCCCCGGGCCCCTGGGCAACTCCACCTTTGCGTGGTTCCGGAATGGCCGGCGACTGCACGCGGAGCCTGTGCCCACACTTGCCTTCACCCACGTGGCCCGGGCCCAAGCCGGGGTGTACCACTGCCGCGCTGAGCTCCCCACTGGGGCTGCCGCCTCTGCTCCAGTCATGCTCCGTGTGCTCTGTGAGTGTGAAACCTCTGCCTCAGTCTCCCCACATCTCACATGCCCACCTCAGGTCTTCCTCCTCTCTGTCTGCAAAGAGCGAGGGCTTCACAGGTAGGGAGCCCTGGGTTCGAAGCCTGACACTCCCACTGACTGGTTGTGTATCTTGTACATCTGTGCCTTGGTTTCTTCTGTAAAATGCCAACAGCATCAGTCCCCTCATCTTTCGAGGAGTGTAGGTAATGCAGCACACTGAGGCTGGCATACCTGTAATCTCAGCACTTTGGGAGTCTGAGGCAAGATCACCTGAGGCCAGGAGTTCAAGACCAGCCTCTACAAAAAACATTGAGGCCGGGCGCTGTGGCTCACGCCTGTAATCCTAGCTCTTGGGAGGCCGAGGCGGGCGGATTGCTCAAGGTCAGGAGTTCGAAACCAGCCTGAGCAAGAGTGAGACCCCGTCTCTACTATAAATAGAAAGAAATTAATTGGCCAACTGATATATATATAAAAAATTAGCCGGGCATGGTGGCGCATGCCTGTAGTCCCAGCTACCCAGGAGGCTGAGGCAGAAGGATCACTCGAGCCCAGGAGTTTGAGGTTGCTGTGAGCTAGGCTGACGCCACGGCACTCACTCTAGCCTGGGCAACAAAGCGAGACTCTGTCTCAAAAAAAAAAAAAAAAAAAAACATTGAAATTAGCTGGATGTGGTTGTGCGCACCTGTAGTCTCAACTACTTGAGTGGCTGAGGCAGGATTGCTTGAGCCCAGGCATTCGACATTGCAGTGAGCTATAATCTTGCCAGTGCATTCCATCCTGGGCAACATAGTAAGAGGCTGTCTCTAAAAAAAAAAAAAATGAGCTGAGTGGTGCCTAGCACAGTAGCACAGTCTTGGTCTCCCACCCTAATCTTCACCAGGGCCCACTCTGTATCAGTCAGTTATTACTACATGACAAGCCACCCTAAAACTTAGTGCCTCAAACAACAGCCATGTTATTTGCTCACAATTCTGTGGGTCAGTAATATGGGCTGGGCTCAGCTGGGCAGTTCTTCTGCTGGTCTCACCTCATGAGGTTGCAAATGACAGTGGCTCAACTGAGGCTAGAAGGTCTCAGAGGGCCTCACCCTCAGGGCTGGTGACTGGGCCACGCATGCCCAGCAGGTTGGCATGGGCTTCCCATGTGGTTGTATCCCAAGAGCAGAGGAGAAACTGCAGTGTCTCTTGAGGTCTCGCTCTGAAGTCGCACGATATCACTTCTTTCTTCAACTGGTCAAAGTGAGTCACAGATTGATTCTAGGAGTGAGGAAATAGGCTCCACCTCTTAATAGGAGGAGCTGCAAAGTCACTGTGCCCAGGTACAGGGCGGGAGGAGTTTGTGGTGGTTTTTCTGTAATCACCACACTCCCTTCCTCCCCACAGACCCTCCCAAGACGCCCACCATGACGATCTTTGTGGAGCCTGAGGGAGGCCTCCAGGGCATCCTGGACTGCCGAGTGGACAGCGAGCCCCTTGCCAGCCTGACCCTCCACCTTGGCAGTCGGCTGGTGGCCTCCAGCCAGCCCCAGGGCGCTCCTGCTGACTCCCACATCCACGTCTCTGCCTCTCCCAATGCGCTGAGGGTGGACATCGAGGAGCTGAGGCCCAGTGACCAGGGGGAATACGTGTGCTCTGCCTCCAATGGCCTGGGCTCTGCCTCTGCCTCCACCTACTTTGGGGCCAGAGGTGAGGGGAGGGGTTGCCATCTCCCAGGCCCCTCTGCACAAAGGCCCAGCTCTGGGGCCCAGAGGCTTCCTTCCCTGAGTCCCTTCTGCTGCAGTGCAGCTTGTCTGTCTAGTCTAATCTGATTGCTGGAGCTTCCTGGTGCAGTGGTGGGGGACTTCAGAGAAAAAGTGAGAGAATAGAAGGTTTCCACCTGGGTGGGTCACCTGGGAGGGTGCACTGGGGCAGGAAGCCAGGGCTGCCCCTGAGCCCACCTCTGCATTCCAGCCCTGCACCGCCTGCACCTGCTGCAGCAGCTGCTCTGGGTCCTAGGGCTGCTGGCGGGTGTCCTGTCCCTGCTGTTGGGCCTGGGTGCCTGCTACGCCTGGAGGTGAGTCCAGAGCTGGGGGTGGGCCAGGCCACCTCATCCTCCCTGCCTCTCCCTGAACATGCTCCCACCTCCCTCCTACCAAGTTCACAGGCTGCATACTTCCCAGCCCACCCCCTCCACATTTGGGAATCCCTTCTAGAATCATCTCTAAATCCACCATGCTGTAGTTTTCTTCTTTCCTTCTCTCTGCCCTATCTGTGCTGAAGAAAGGGTTAGGGAGGAAGGAGAGAAAGAACCCCAGTCTCCCATGCTCTGTACAATGAGAAGTCGGGCCAGCCTGGGTGGGGGAGGAGAATGGGGCAGGTGGCGGGGAGCAGAGAAGCTCTGTGAGTCCACTCTCACCCTTGCAGAAGGAGGCGTTTTCAGAAGCTGAGCACAGGCGAGAATTCGGTGGAGATGGTTTCTCAGAAAGAGACCACACAGGTATCCATTCAACACACGTGGGCACATGCAGACATGACACCCAGCTAACCCACAGTGCCAGGCTGGCAGCTGAGGACCACTCTCATTTATAGGATGGTGTCTGGGCCCAGGGGTGATTGGGGAGAGTACACAGGGGACCAGGGCCCCCTCCGGAGACAAGGAGAGCCCTCTGCTGCTTGGGGCAGAGAGCAGCTGTTTGCTGGGTGGCTGGCTGGGAGCCTGGGGCAGACTTTCTGGATAGCTTCACTTCCACTTCCAGACAGTTTCTGATTCCTCCACTTTTGTTCTGAGGTCTCTTTTGCCCATGCCTGAGCCTGCGCATCACCTGGGCAGGGGTGAAAGGCTGTTTCTCTTCCCCTGTGACAAGCCCCTCTGCAGATGTCCACCTGGTGGGCAGGGCTCCAAGTCCCAGTTCCAGCCACGCACACGCCCACCAATCCCCTTGGGACCCTACCTAAAGCTGGAGGCCTGGAGGGCTGCCCTTGCTCCTTGAGTCCTCCCGTGACCAGGGTTTTCTCTGTGGGAAGCTCATTGATCCTGATGCAGCCACATGTGAGACCTGTCCTGTGCTCCGCCCCTGAGCTGACCACGGCACTGCCTGCCCTCAGGAGGACGAGGTTGCCATAGCTATGATGACTCGGCCCGTCAACGTGAGCGAGGCAGCGTTGCGTCCCGCCTGCCTCTGTGAAAACAGCTCCAGGACATCTGGCTTTTTATGATCTGGTTCCAAGCCTCTCGCCCCCAAGGAAAACGGGTGGTGAGAGTGGGCACAGACCCTGGCCTACCCGGGAACGTGCTGACCTCAGGGGACTCTGAAGAGAAGCAAGTGGGCATCCCCTTCTCTTGCTCTTCTCCACACCTCCTCTCTCCTCTCCAAAGGGGGCCTTGCCCCTTCACATCTCCCTCCCCAAAGCTCCCCCTGAACTTTCTGGATGGATTAGAACAGAAAAGGAGCATTCCGTGTCCTCTGGCTCACCAAACACTCTGTATTAGGCAGAGGATAAGTCAAGATTTGCTCTAACAAGAGACCAAATACATGATCCAATTTTATTTTCCTCTCCCATACCAGTCTGGCTATGTAATGGTGGTTTAAGGTACTGGGATCCTTCTATCGTACTTTTCTTTCATCCCTAAAATGTTGCCTTTGATTGTGAGGTTCACCCATGGCCCCGCTGTGCTCACACTCAATCCAGCCAGAAGAGGGAAGAGTGGAAGTATTAATAGACGGCGCACCCACCCCTGCCATGGACACAACCCAGGAGTTGCACATGTCACTTCCATTGGTTAGAGTTTACCCTCAAGGCCACGCCAAGCTGCAGGGGAGGCTGGGAAATTTAGTTTTTATTCTGAGTCCAGAGGATGTTTGGAAATTCTATTTTCAAAGGACTCCCAACTATGGACTCATGCCTGGAACATTTGACATTGATGGGAATGCCACCAGCAGGCCATGTTCTGTCATGGTGCCCATCTGCTGAAGGTCAGGGCATGCCCCTGGCCATTCTGGTTATGGGCTTCCTGGAGGGGGCATCCCTCTCGCACAGTACAACTGAGGAAATCAAGTAGGTCTGGTGGTCCCCTGGGAGAGGCATGCCAGGCATGCCTAATCTGGCCCCTGGAAGAAAAGGTTCCCCCGTTCCCACTATCCCCACCTCCAGGAGCGTGGCAATGCCTTACCAGCTCTTCCAAGTGCAGAGAGCAGACATGGGTGTTGTCAGCATCCTCGTTTCTGCCCCAGATGCTTCCTCTCCATGACCAAGTGAACGCTTGTCCTTTTCCCAGAGGCCCATGTGCCAGGGGCTGCTGAAGACAATAAGAGTTATCGAGAAGGAATAAAGAGCTTTTGGGAAATCATGGAATGAGGGGGCCAGTTCTCGAGCAGAATCATCACTCCCCTTGCAGTGTAGTAGCAGATGGTGGGAGGAGCAGAGAGCCCACCCCTCTAGGATTTGGGCTGAGAAACAGAGAGAGTAGTGGGGAGTTGGCAGAGGAGCCAATAGGCTGGGAAGACACTGGGGGCCAGGTGAGCTTTGTGTAGCCTCGGCTACACCCTCCTTCATCCCTGGCCCCATTCCTTTCCGTGTCCAACTGCCACACTCTTCCTGGGAGCCTCTCAAGCATGTCCTTCCAATAAACTTCCATCCTATGATGAAACTGGTGTGAGTCTCTTTCATGCAACCCAAACTGCTGGGCTAGAACACAGAGGATTCAACTGTTAGTGAGGATTATTCTTAGAGACTATCTGCAGGAGGTGGTGCCATTACATGACATTGATCACAAACCACCTTCTGCTGTGTCCCTTCCTGTTCCTTGAGGCTCTGTCTGGGCGTTGCTCACCTCTGCCACCTGCGATGACCAGCACAGTCTTGGCACACATTAGGTCAGTGTTCAGTAAGTGCTTGTCTTGTTTACACTGTTGGTGAGTGAGAGGGAAAGCAAGGACTAAATCCAGAGGTGGGATGGGGAGAGGGCAAGCCAAATGCAGCCAGATGTCCCGGGGCTGTCTGGGGAAAAGTGGGGAGGGGAGGACCACAGGTAGCCACAGAAAGGGGTAGCTGCTGGGGGATTTGGGAACATCTGCCTTGGGAGTTTCCATCTGCTTCCATGTACCTTCAAGGGGACGTATGTCCATCTGGGATTGGAGAGTTCTCAAGGGGGCTAGTTGTGTCCACTCCCAGTGGTCTTAGCCCCCCTGAAAGACTTTTAAAATAAACTTTTAATTGAAGTATAACACACATACAGAAAAGTGTATGTTGTTATAAGCATGCAGCCGAATGCCTTTTCCAAAAGCCAACACCCTTGTAAACCAGCACCCAGATCAAGAAACATACCATTCCCAGCACCCCAGAGTCCCCCTCACACCCCCAGTCCCAACCCCCCAAGGGTAACCACTATCTTGACTTCTAACATCATAGATTTTATTTACTTGTTTTTGACCTTTATATAAATGGAATTAAACGGTGTGTACAACTTTTGGAAAACTAACCATATCTATTAAAGCTAAAACACTCCTGCCCTGTGACCCTGAAATTCCACCCCTGGGCATTTCCTCAAGAAGAATGAGGGTGTACGTCCACCGTGAGGAAGTCCACAGCAAGTTTATTCACAACAGCCCCAAACTGAAACCCGCACGCATCAGCAGTAGAATGGCTAAATCCGCTGTGCATGTCCACACAGAGGAGTATCATGTGGCAGTGAGGACGAGTCACAACTGCATAGAGTGATATGGGCGGCACTCTCAAACAGAACGTCCGGTGCACAGATTGTATGATTCCGTTTTTGTGACGTTCAAGAATAGGCAAAGCTAATCAATGGTGATAGAAGTAAAAATAGTGGTTACCTGTGGGAGAAAGGGATTGGAAGGGACCACAAAGGGGCTTTCAAGGGGCCAGGAATATGCTGTTTCCTGGTCTGGTTGAGAGTTCTCTGGGTGTGATCACTTTGTGAATTCAGTGAGCTTCTCACTTTTCTAAATACATATCGTACTTCAGTAAGAACGTTTTTAAAAATTCCCCACCTTTTACATTGGGTATCCGGCTGATCATCTGGTTATCTAAGCACCCCCTTCACTTTGCCAAGGGACAACCCGCTCCCCTCTAAATGCACTGGGCTGTGTGGATGGTGCCTTGACTTTGGGGACCCCCCCATTCACATATGTGACTCTTTCTAGTGTACCCAAGCATCAGCCTGTCATCTCCAGGTGCCACCCTGGACACCTCCGTGGGCTGGAGTTGGAGCGCTTCCCCCAGACACGCTGTTCTGGGTCACTCCTCAGGACGAGTCCTGTTTATAGATGGTGGGTGTTGCCCATTCCGAGCACTTCAAAGGTTTAACTCTCACTGGTTTGCTAGTTCCCAAGCCACTTCCTGATGGCCCTTTGGAGAGTGACACCAGTAAGCCATTTGATGAATCATCTTTCCCACAGTGTTATGAGGCGTGAATACCAAGCTGCTTGGTGGCATTCTAGGATCCATCTTTTGCAACTATGGTTCAGTGGCCCCATCTCCTCCTCTGCAAATTCAGAATGTAAATAAATAGCTGCTCAGAGATTTAGGCAGAAAATTCCTCTGACAGGCTTGAACACAGCTCATCTGGGTTTGGGAGGTGTCACCTTTGCAAGGATGACTCCAATCCCCACGTGGCTCTTAGGCTACATGTCCCCCTCGTTTTATCAGCTCAGACTGTGCCAGGCCCTGTGCCAGGCATTGATAAGACACATATTCCCAGACCTTACGGAGCTCAGGGTCTGGGGGGAAGAGAGAAGGAAATGGGTAACCATAACATCCTGTGAAACGTGATACAAGGGATGGTAAGCTGGCTTTGGGTAAGGGACAGTCTCTGAATGAGAAGACATCAAGCAGTCCCTGCTATTCAGGAGGCTGAGGCAGGAGGATCACTTGAGCCCAGGAGTTTGAGGTTGCTGAGAGCTGTGATCATGCCACTGCACTCCAGCCTGGGCAACAGAGACTTTATCTCAAAAACAAACAAACAAAAACAACAACAACAAAAAAACCACTGAACCCAAACAACCAATCAAAATCCTCAAAACAAAACCCCAGAGTAGTAATAGTAGTAATATATATATAAGAACAAGGAGGACTGTCCACATGCTATGATACCCAAGGTGTATTAAGTGACAAAACAAATATACATATATCATGGTGCAAAAAAATATTAATAAGAGAAAAATATGTCTATTGCCTTGGATATGCACAAAAATAACCTAAAAGCCCATGCAAGAAACTCATCATAATGGCTTCTGTTGGGGGAGGAGGGCTGGGAGCATGGAGATGGAAGAGGTGGGAATTGGGAAGACTTTTCCCTACACACTCTATGATGCTTTTTGATGTTTGAATCACGTGAACATGGGTTTCTCCTGCTGCTGGAACTTTTACTAACCAAATTATTACATTCCAAATTCTCAGAAACAGATTTGCTTAAAAGTTAACATCCCTTGATATTCGAATTTACACCTAGTACACAAATTTTTAAACAAGAAACATGGTACTGAGGTGGAAAGGAACCCTCATGTTGGGTCTGCGTATCTATGGCTTTGCACAATTCTGCCTTCTAGCCACCGCCAGGGACAAAGAGCTGCCCTCCTCCCGTGCCCGTCCCCGTCCCCGGCGTGGCCTTTGCCCAGCACTGAAGCCCCCAAGCCTGTGTCCTCCACTTGCTCTCCCCAGCCCATGCCGGGGTAGGGGCTGGCAGCCACTGTGGCTTGGAGCTGGGCAACCCTGACTGCTAAGGTTGGTCGCCTTGAACTCCTTTCCCCTGGGGCACTCATCGCAGTGCGGTGAGGGACCGGCTCGACCTCCCCTGGTATCTCCCGGGGGGCGCCTCTGGGCAGGACGGGTGACAAGGCGAGGGTTCTTCCTGGGCACACCCGAGCAGCAACAGGCGGCCCCAGACGCAGCCTCTGTCCACCACCCCACCTAAGAGCCTTCCACCCCCTACCCCCATGAGTAGGGGCGCTCTGAGACCTATGGGGCGGAATGGCGCGGGCAGGTCGCCGAGGGACCGCGCGGATTCCCACCTACGCCCTCACCCACCCCACCGCCATCCCACCCCGGCCCAGGTCTACTCGCTGGGTGCTCCCCCAGGGCGCACGAGGCCGGGTCTTGCCGCCGGGGTCCCGCGGGGAGGAGTGGCGGGCCGGAGCGGGGCGCGGGGCGGGGGGATCCGGAGGCGGCGCGGGCCGGGCTGCGCAGGACGTGGGTCGGCGGCGGTCCAGCCCGGGCGGAGCCGCGAGCTGAGCCGGCAGCCGGGAGCCGCGCGGCTTAGAGGCAGAGGCGCTCGCAGCTATGGGCCGGGGGTCCCGGAGAGCTCGGGGGTCGCCGGTGCTCCTGCTGCTGCTCCTGTGGCCGGTGCCAGGCGCTGGGGTGCTTCCAGGTCAGGAGCGGACGGGGATGAGCCCCGCGGGGCAGGCGAGGCGGGGCGAGGTGGCAGGGCGGTGGGTTCCGTTCAGAGCCCAGGCAGCGGATGGAGGGTCTGACACCTCCGGGACCGCAGGGCCAGGAGGTCAGGGCGTGGGGAGGATTTGGGTGGGTCTCCGTGGGACCTGCCCAGGGACGCTCAACTGCTTGGGCTGGCCTCGGGGCTGGACTTGCCCATACCCTGCCTGGCTGCCACTGTGCCACCGCCACCGGCAAAGACGAGGGCCCGCGGACCCTTCTACTCTCAGCCGCTGCCCAGGTCTGGCCCCCGGCCTGGCCTCGCACTCTCACCACTTCCCTGCCCCCGCCGCCCCGTGAACCCCTCCTACACCGCCACCCCTTAGGGCTCCGAGTTGGAGTCGCTCCCTCCTCCTGGAAGCCCCATGCCCAGTGGTCCCCCCAAGTTCTGCCCTCAGCTCTGTAGAACTAGCTGTGGTCTCACAGCTCACCCCCTCGTCTCCTCCCGTCCCAGGGCCCTGGGGCAGTGTGTATACTGTTTATATTGTTGCCTTGTTTGGTTAGATACAGAAGGACTTCTCCAAACAGAAGGTGCCTGTTTAGCAGCGCCCTGGGAGGACTGCAGCTGTCTCTGCGTGCAACCTCTCCAAACCCCCTGTCAGATGGGCTGGAAACAGCAACCTCCGCAAGTGGGTGGGAGGATTATGGAGTCCTGCACATCAAGTGCCAGGCCAGGGGACAAGGAGGGCAACAAGAGAGGAGGCACAAAGGGCTGAGCAGAGCAGCCTGGGGGCTGTGGGGTCCATAGCACTGTGCTGAGGACCTGACAGGTACAGGGTCCTGCTCTGTTCACCCAAGAGGGAGGGATGACAGTCCTCATGCCTTGGAGAAGGTCCCTATGCATTCCCTGGCTCACTTCCCTCAGAGCGCAAGCCTGGGGCCAGGGAGGGTGATGAGACCCTGGGAGAGAGGGGCTCCCTAGGTTTCCACTCCCATCCACCCAGTCACCAGAGCCCCAGCTCTGCCTCTCTGTCCCTCGTCAGGGTGCCAGTGGAGAATACCCACCCCTACCCCCGCACAGGCCCACCCTTCCGCCTCCCCACCCTTACAGGCCTGAAACCAGCAAGGCCCAGTCTCCACCCCGGCTAAGTCCTCTCTGGACTGAGATGCCTCCCCCTCCTGCCCCCTGCCGCACCCACTCTCCTCCCCACACGGCACCTTTAGCCTCCTTTCCCAGGGTCTGCCTGATGGCAACTCCCTCAGCCAGTCAAGGAGGGCTTTGGTAGGGAAGGGGCTCCTGCAGTCTGCTGCCACCCCAGGGCTTTGATGCTGGTGCACTGGTCTGGGAGAGAAGAAAAAAGGAACTGGGGTGACCCAGATGCACGGGTGACCATCAGCCTGGGCAGGGTCAGGGGGGCCAGGGCTGGGTGGGCCGGGGGCTGTGTGTTCTGGGAGCCCAGGGGACAGAGTCCCAGAGGGGAGGGAGGGCTGGCTGCAGGCTCCTTTGGGGCAGGGCTGCTGAGGGCTGCTGGGCTGGTGGGGGTGGGGGCCCGGAGCATTCCAGGGGAGCATTCCAGGCGCCCTCTGAGTAATGCTTGGCTCTGGGATTCCTCCTAGAGCCCCCGTAGGCACACCAGACCTGACCCAGCCTGGAAGCACAGAGGCTCTGTCCCCCAGCCTCAACTTGAAGATATGAGGAGGGGTCAGGGTCTAGGGAACCCTGCCACCAGGACAAAGACCCCAGGGGAGCTCTGGGCAAGGTGGACCTCCCAAGACAACATCTGGCTGTTGTTTTTCTCAGCTGGTGGGGAGACACAGTCATCCTCTCCTCACGGATCTCTCATCCTAAAGGCATTTGCTGCCCAATCTAAAAATACCGGAGGCTGCCTGCCTCTTCCCTTCCCCTCTGCGCTGGGGGCCCTGGCCTCTTCCTTGTGAACTCTGACCCCATTCCTGCCCCCTCCCAAAGGTCAGGTGGCTCCTGCATCCCCAGCCGAGCTGTCTCTTCCCAGGCTCCTCTGTCTCTCTTCTGCCACCTCCCTGGTGGCTCCTTAGTTCCAAAGGTGCCCCATGGGTGCCCACCCTTCTCTAGGCTGAGCCCACGAGTATTGAGGATGGAGTCTGTCCCTCAAGGCTTCCTGTTCCTCCCTGCTGTCCCCCAGTCCTCCTGTCCCTCAGGTCCCCTTCACCCTGTGCTCTGTCCTCACCCCAGGAAACACCCCTGGAAAACCAGTCACCGCCCACTGGCTCCTGGATGGACGACGCTGGCACATGGTCACCCTGGAGGAGCTGGTCAGTGCTACATCACCCAGGCCTCTGCAGGCAGGGACCCCGGGTCTCCCAGGCCTTTCGCCCCTCCCCACATTGCAGCATGGTGGTTTTGCTGGGATCTGCAGAACCCCTGAGTCACAACTCCTTTAGGCCCCACTGGGCTGGCAGGTGAGGGATGTGGGGACATCTAGGTTGTGTGAGCCTGCACACATGGAAGTCATTTTGGGGGTCCTTCACCCTACCGCTCCCCTTTCCTTTCCTCCCTGGATTATCTGGTCTACCCCCACACCGACCAGACAGAGGGGTCCAGGGTTTGTAGGGCCTGAAGCTTTTCAGGAGCCTCTCTAAGAAAGCACCAAAATACCTTCCTTTTGCAAAGTTTACCACAACATGTGACCCTGTGGACACACTGCTGTCCCTCTCAGGGCCACGACATTGAGGGCCCTGAAACTTCAGCCCCACTGGCTCATGCAGAGTCCACTTCTGGCCACAGGGACAGTGGTTACTTTACTGTTGTCCCCAAGATGTAAGCCCACCCTATTTTGCTTCTCCAGGACACTCTGTCCTGGCCTCTTCCCCACTCCTGCCCATCACATGCTCCTAAAATAGCCACATCCCATCTGTTTGTGCCACAACATCCATGCTGCAAACTAACAAGCCAGTGGCTTCAATATGCCCATTTCACAGAGGGGTAAACTGAAGCCCAGAGAGGTTGGGGAAATTGCCCACGGTCACATAGCTCTTTAGCCCGGGATCCTGGGGCCGAAATACTTTAAACCATTGGCCAAACCCCTTGCCAAGCCTGGAGCGCCCTCTTTATTCTGAATTTCCAGGCAAGAGAGGACATCCCCACTGTCCAAGACCGGTGAGGGGAAGGCAGGAGAGCACTGTCATGAGGCTGGGAGGCTCCCAGAGGCCCCACAGCTCCCCACCTAGGGCCCTCCCTGGGGACCCACAGACCCTAGGGCCCCCTTTCAACTGGCAGAGCACTGGCCCATGAGCTTTGAGATTGTTTCCTCCACATCCCTGGCAGAGGGAAGGCAGGGCACACACTGGGGTCACTCCGACTGTGGGCCTGCTCTACATCTGGCCTGAGCCATGATCACGAGGGCAATCCAAGAGGGGCCGTGCCTCCCCCACTGGGGGCCTCTGCCCCCAGGAAGACACGGACAGGACACAGAGTAGAGGCAGAGTCCCCTCCAACAGGCAGGAAACACTCACACTTCTAGACGGGATGGGATATATCTTGAGGGGTGAGGTCACCAGGAGGGCAAGAAGGGAAGACAGCAGGGTCTGCAGAATGACAGGGGCCTTGAGTGTGGCCTTCCATCTGGGCCACTGCCTTTGCCCCAGCACAGACCTTTCCCCAATAAAGCAAGTGGCATTCCAGCCACATGAGCTCATGCTTGGGGCCTTGTGGGGCCTGTGGCTGGGGAGGCAAGGGCTGTCTGCTCCCCACCTGTGGAGGAAAGCTCCCCCTCCCCCAAGACTCTGAGCCCCTTGGCCAGGGTCCCAGCCCAGTGCATTTTGGGATAAAAGGGGAGGGCCTAGGGTGGAGTAGACATTCCGAAGACACAGCAGCCTTCCAGGAAGCTCCTGGGCCGGCTCTGATTCTGGGCCCCCAGCCAGGCTGAGTAGACGAGGGGAGCATGGGGGTGCCCACAGCCCCTGACAGCAGGCCGAAATCCGGCATCTCCTCTTGGCTGGGATGGGGTCCATATTTCCTGCCAGAGCTCAGTGAAGCAGGTGGGAAGGGGGTTGCGGAAGGCCGAGGATAACTTCCGGAGGGGGCAGTTCACCAGAATCCGAGGCAGAGGGATCAAGTGCGTGTTCCTTAGGGAATGAGGGGCGGCGAGAAATAAGCCCAGCTGCCAGAGGCTGGGAAGGCACCCGAGCCGTGGCTAACCAATGCCCCCACAGTGTCCTCAGGACCCCACTGCTTCCCTGCCCTGAAAGCCCCTTCTGGGTCTGAAAGAAGAGGGCAGGCCAGGGTAGGGCCCAGTCACCATGGACAAAGCAGGGCACCTTTCTGGGACCCCAGGCTTTGGGGAGGATGTTGCGTGCACTGTTGGGCTTTGCTTAGGCACTTTCAAGTGGTTGTTTTCAGAACAACAAACATCCTGAGTTTGGGAATACCTCTGTCTGCATGCTCTCCCTGCCACACCCCTCCATGCCCCCATGACACACAGCGGGGGCTGCTGTCCCTACCCCAGCCCATGTTCTCTCCATGAACTTCCTTGCCACCTCCCTGGCAGGCGGGAGCCTGGAGGCACATCCATCTCAGCCCTGCACTCCTTCTCGCACAGGTCTTGAAGCCAGACTCAGGGCTGGTGGCCTTGGAGGCTGAAGGCCAGGAGCTTGTGCTTGAGCTGGAGAAGAAACAGTGAGTGCCAGGCTGGGGCAGGGCTGGGAGCCCAGGATAGACCTCCCTGGAGGGGTCAGTGCTGGGGTGCAGGGACTGACATGGACCTGTGAGGGAAGCTGAGGGGGAGAGGGCCCCAAAAGGGGTGCAGGTGGCAGAGTGAGTCAGACAGGCCTGCCACTGGCCCCCTGAAGGCTGAAATGGACAGTTGAGGTTGGATCAGCCCTGCTGTGGGCACATTCCTGGTCCCAACCCCAGGAGCATCTTGTCAGCTCCCTTTTGCAGGATATGCCAAGTCAAAAGAATCCCAGGTGAGATTCCAACGATGGGATGGCACTCCAGGCTGAGGGAATGGCAGGGACAAAGAGGCGCTGGCTATATTGGGGGGTGACAATTTGCTGGCTTGCCTGGAAGGTTTCCACCCCAGGGAAGACAGCAGGGGGAAATGAATTTGGGGAGTCCCAGTAGGGCCAGATCACAGCAGGCCATTTTAGTGCTGAGTGCCCCGGATGGTGCAGAGCCAAAGATGTCAAGCTGGTGAGTGAACAGGCAGAGCTGTGCTCAGGACAGAGCCCTGCGCTGGGCCAGGTGGTGTCGAGATGGAGTGCACGGTCTTGAAGCCATACAGACCATATTATCAATAGGTGCCGCTTATGGCGTGCTTGTTTCATCACAGGCGATGTTCTCAGCACTATGTGGAGTCAGGTGGGCCAGGAACAGACTCTAGGTCCATCATGCCTAACCACTGTTTTCTGGGGTTCCATGCTCCTACCCTTTCAATGGGGTGATCACATCACCTACCTCTTAAGGTGGCATGTGTGTGTGCAGTGGGGTAGCAGAGCCGGAGCAGGTCGGAATGACAGGGAGGTAGAGAAGCAGGTGTCACAGGTCTGGGGGTGGTCTGGAGGTAAAGAGACCAAGGTGAGGCTGACCATGATTTTCTTTAAAGAAGAGAGATTGGCTTATGGTTGAGCCATCCTGGTGGGAAGGATCCTGGTGAGATGGAGGCAGAAGATGGGGTCATTACCCAAGCGGGGTCTGGAGAAGGTGGGGGAGGGGATCCCTGCTCAGGTGACAGGGCAGGAGCAGGTGTGGGCAGGTGGGGATTCTGTTTTCTCTGGAAGCAGGGGGTGGGCATCACTGAAGGACAGGTGGGAGGCACATGGGGGTTAGGCGCCTGCAGAGATGATTTAAAGGATCTGGGGTGGGAGGGGCCAGAAGGTTGACCAGACAATGGCAGGCTGCAGGCAGGGTACCTGTCAGCTTACCACACTTCCTTGGCTGCAAGTCCTGCCCCTCAGCAGTGTCCCCTGAATCCTCCCTCCTGACGCTGCTGCAGGCCCTCCAGGGACCCCAAACCCTTCCCCTAGCTCTGCTCCTCCCAGGTGCCTCCCATACTTCCCCCCAGCCCCACCCCCACCACCTATGCCATTACCATGGCTCCTTCCTGACCTTCACCTGTCTCCTTCCAGCTCAAAGTATTTCTGAGCTGAGCAAGACATAGTGCTCCTGTCCCTTCCCTAGGACACACCCTGGGTGCCTCACTCACAGAGCTGCTCAGTTAGCATCGGGGAGGAAGGTTGGAAGGCATCCTGGAGGAGGCAGGGCTGCTTAGTTCATTCCTGTAACACCCCCTCCCAGCAGGCTGCTGGCCCCCGGATACACAGAAACCCACTACAGCCCAGATGGGCAGCCAGTGGTGCTGGCCCCCAGCCACACGGTGAGATGCCTCCATGGGCTCTGAGGACAGGGTGAGGGGTACTGGGGATGCACCCCCCTCCATTCCTACCCCACTTTCCTGCTTCTGTTCCTAGAGAGAGGTTGGAGCCAGCCCCCCACCAAGCCCTCCCTCCTGCCCCTCCTGCTTCAGCCTGGCTGAGACTTGGGGCTGGGTGTCTTCCTCTCCAGGATCATTGCCACTACCATGGGCGCGTGAGGGGCTTCCCTGCCTCCTGGGTGGTCCTCAGCACCTGCTCTGGGATGAGGTGAGGAGTTCTGGGGCAGGGGGCTGGCCTGGGGCTGGGAAGGAGCCCCTCACACCCCTCTGGCCCTCTGCACCCTAGCGGCCTCATCGTGCTCAGCAGCAATGCCAGCTACTATCTGCGCCCCTGGCCTCCTGGGGACTCCGAGGACTCCTCAACGCACAGGATCTTCCGGACGGAGCAGCTGCTTACCTGGAAAGGGGACTGTGGCCACAGGGACTCTGGGGACAAAAGGGACATGGACAGCCTTCCTCGTGCCCGGCAGAGCAGGGTGAGGGGCTTGCATGGAGTGGGAGTGGGAAGGCAGTATCCACAGCCCTCCAAATCCGAAGAGACGAATTCGGAGTCCCCCTTCTGCCCGGATACTTTTATCCGAGGCTGAAGAAACGAGTTCTAATAACATTTTAAAACTGTTCTTTCTGAGCATTGGGGGTGGTGGTCAGGGCTCAGCCCAGCAGCCTGCCACTCAGAGTCTCCATCTGCCTGTGCGCAGGACAGGCGAGAGGCCCGCAGGAGCCCGAGGTACCTGGAGCTGTACCTGGTGGCTGACCACAGCCTGGTGAGGGGAGACCCAAGGCGGGCGCCGGGTGGGGGATGGGCCAGCTCAGCCCCTTACGCCGCGGTCTTTCTGCCCTCCCAGTTCTTGACCCAGCAAAGAAACTTGAACCGCACCAAACAGCGTCTCCTGGAGGTCGCCAACTATGTGGACCAGGTTGGGGTGGGGAGGAGAGAGCAGGAATGGGGGTGACACGGCGGAGGCGGGTTTTGGGAGAGGAGAGGGGCGGCCCCGCGTAGGAGCCCCGGCACGGCGGGGCACCTGGCCCCATCTTCAGCCCCTCCCCCCTCAGATCCTCAGGACGCTGGACATTCAGGTGGTGCTGAGTGGCCTGGAAGTGTGGACCGAGCAGGACCGCAGCCGCGTCTCGCCGGACGCGAACGCCACGCTCTGGGCTTTCCTGCAGTGGCGCCGGGGACTGTGGGCGCGGCGGCCACACGACTCGGCGCAGCTGCTCACGTGGGTGCCTCTGACCACCAGGCGGGGCCTGGGCCGGGCGGCCTGGACTCCCGGCCCCGCCCGGTCACTCCGCGCTCCGCCCTCAGGGGCCGCGCCTTCCGGGGCGACACCGTGGGACTGGCGCCCGTCGAGGGCATGTGCCGCGCCGAGAGCTCTGGAGGCGTGAGCACGGTGAGCCCGCGGGCCGGGGAGGGAGGAAGGGGCAGGGCTCGCCGCCCGCACTGACCGCCCCGCGGCCTCCAGGACCACTCGGAGCTCCCCATTGGCGCCGCGGCCACCGTGGCCCACGAGATAGGCCACAGCCTGGGCCTCAGCCACGACCCCGACGGCTGCTGCGTGGAGGCCGCGGCCGAGCAAGGCGGCTGCGTGATGGCGGCGGCCACCGGGTACGCCGGGGACGGGGCCCCGGGGCCCCTCGGCTGTGTTTCTTTGGTTATCCCTCAGTTTCCTCTTCTGTAAAGTGGGGATCATGATAGTAGTACGCGATCTTAGGGTTGTTTATGAGGCTTCAACGGAGAGAACGCCGGTAAAGTGGATTCTCGGGAATATGAAGATTATTTTCCGAACCACCTGTCAAGGTTACTCCTACCTCGGGAGTAGCACCGCTGTGTCGCTGCTCCACCTTGGGTCCTGGGCTGCCCACTTTTGGCGTCTCACCCTCCCGCCTCTCTGTGTGACTTTTCACCAGTCACTGCTCCTCTGGAGCATTCGAGCCTCCTCCCACCGCTGAGGCGGTGCCAGCGCGTCCGGCGGCTGTGAGGCCAAGCCCAGGGGTGGGGATCAGAGACGAGCGGGGTGTCGGGATGGTCCCCGCACGGCCGACGCCCTCCCCGCTCCCGCAGGCACCCGTTCCCGCGCGCGTTCAGCGCCTGCAGCCGCCGCCAGCTGCGCGCCTTCTTCCGCAAGGGGGGCGGCGCGTGCCTCTTCAATGCCCCGGGGCCGGGGCTGCTGGTGCCGCCTGCGCGCTGCGGGAACGGCTTCGTGGAGGCAGGCGAGGAGTGCGACTGCGACCCCAGCCAGGTCAGGTCGGCTTGCTGGGACCGGGAGGTCCAAGGGTGGTCCCCGCTCGCCCTCTGCCCGGAGGTCTGGCGCGCTGAGCCCTCACCTGGTGCCCCCTCGCCTTTCTGGCTGCAGGAGTGCCGGGACCTCTGCTGCTTCTCTCACAACTGCTCTCTGCGCGCGGGGGCCCAGTGTGCCCACGGGGACTGCTGCACGCGCTGCCTGGTGAGGGCAAGGAAGGCTTGTGGTGAGGGTTTTGGAGCGCTTGGGAGCCGGCCTTTGGTGGCCTTGGCTTGTTGGACACCTCCAGTCCCCTTGCTGGGTGCTGGCTCTGCTCTGTGCGCGGGTCCACTGGGCCCTCTGGCCCAGCCCCCCACCTCTGAGACACTCTCTGGGCGTGAATCTCTCACTGTCCATTGTGTCTTTGTCCTTCCCGCACCTGGTCACCTGCGCAGCTGAAGCCAGCAGGTGTGCTGTGCCGCCAGGCGGCAGGGGACTGTGACCTTCCTGAATTCTGCACGGGCGCTTCCCCCAACTGCCCCCTGGACATTTATCTACTGGATGGCTCGCCCTGCGCCAGGGGCCGTGGCTACTGCAGGGATGGCGCGTGTCCCACGCTTGAGCAGCAGTGCCAGCAGCTCTGGGGGCCTGGTGAGAGGACAGGAGCACCCTTCCACCCTGCCCCATCCTCAGGGTTGGCCCAGTTTTCAACTGTGGGAAGATGGGCAGGGGGAACTGAGGCCCGTGGAGCATGGCCCCTGCCTGCCTGGGCTCCCCCCAGCTCAGCCCATGCTTCCCCAGGTTCCCGCCCAGCACCAGAGGCCTGTTTCCAGGTGGTGAACTCTGCAGGAGACCCTCGTGGGAACTGTGGCCAGGACAGTGAGGGCTACTTCCTGCCTTGTGCACAGAGGTGGGGAGTGCAATGGAGGGAGCAGAAGCAGGAGAGTGAGGAAAAAGGGAGGACACTGCAGGCTGTGACCAACCCCCACTTCCTCCCCAGGGATGCTGGGTGTGGGAAGCTGCAGTGTCAGGGTGGAGAGCTGAGCCCACTCGCCCCACACATGGTGCCGGTGGACTCCACCGTTCACCTAGATGGCAGCGAGGTGACCTGTCGGGGAGTCTTTGCACTCCAAGGTGCCCAGCTGGATCTGCTTGATATGGGCCTCGTAGAGCCAGGCACACAGTGTGGACCTAGCATGGTGAGCCCTGCCTACCCGCCCCCTCCTTGCCACTGGAGTGCCACAGCCCGAGTGCCCCATCACTGCCCAGTGCCCCCTGCCCACAGGTGTGCCAGGACAGGCGCTGCCAGAACACGACCTTCCAGGACCTGGAGCACTGCCTGACCACCTGCCATGGCCATGGGGTGAGTGACCCCATGAGCACTGCCTGACCACCTGCCAGCCCAAGGGATGGGGGTGACCTTGGGGTCCCTGATCCCACTCGACCCTCCCTCCCTTCTCTTCTCCTCTGCAGGTTTGTAATAGCAACCATAACTGCCACTGTGCTCCAGGCTGGGCTCCACCCTTCTGTGACAAGCCCGGCTTTGGCGGCAGCATAGACAGCAGCCCTGTGCAGCCTGAAAGTGCGCCAATGGGGGCCAGGCAGGCAGGCGGGGCCAGGGTGATGCACCTGCCCAGGACTCAACCTCCCCTGTCCTCCGCAGGCCATGACACCTTCCTGCCAGCCATGCTCCTTAGCTTCCTGCTGCCTCTGCTCCCTGGGGCTGGCCTGGCCTGGTGCTGCTACCGACTCCCAGGAGCCCATCTCCAGCGATGCCCCTGGGGCTGGAGGAGGGACCCCACATGCAGCGGGTAGGCTATGAGCCCACTCCTATAGTTCCTTTCCTCAAAGCTCTGCCAGGAGCTGGGGCAGGGTCCCCAGCCTTGGCCCCAGGCGCAAAGAGACGCCCCAGTGGCCTACCAGTGAAGCTGAGCGTGTGGACCCCTGCCCCCACCAGCACCCCAGGGCACGGCCTTCTACCTCTTCTCCTCCAATGTAGCCGCTCTTGTCCATGTCTGTGGCTTCTCGCACCAGGTGGCTGCCTCACCTTGACTTTGCCATCTTTGCACCAGTTTAGAATGCAGTCCATGCTCCCCTGTGCCCTGGAGGCCTCTCTGGCCTTTGTCTTCATTTTCAGTCCTGTGCCACTTCCTCTGCCCAAATCACCTCTGTCACTCCCTTCAAGTTCCCACATGCCAGGCCCAGCTCATCTTTTCACTCCATACCTCCGGTCAGCCAGGAGCCTGCCCCAAACCCAGTTCTGTGACCTGGGAGGAGGGTCACATAATACTAAGCATAGTTGTCTTGGGGCTGCCCTTCCACTGGGGCCCTGGACATGGCAGGCACCCATGGCCATGTCTGACTCAGCCCGGCCTTGGGAGTGCTCTGGGCAAGCAGAGGGAAAGGGCAGGGTTTGGGTTGGAGATGGGGCAGAGGGCATCCCAGACAAGGGCAGGGCACCAATCAGGCCTTCCTGAGAGGGCCTTGGGACATGAGTAGTGATGATGGTGTGTGGACAGAGGAGCAAGGTGGTCAGTTTGGTGTATCAGCCTGGGGGGCCGGGGCGTGGTCTGCATCTCACCTCTGGGGTCTGCTCTTGAGGACAGTGGAGACTGTTTTGAAGGGAAGTCAAAGGAAATGGCAAGGCCGTGGGAGATGGGGTGGGGACAGCCAAAGATGGCTTGGAGTCATCAAGGGTGGCAGGATACCCAATGGCTAGGAGCACAGACACAGCTGCCAAGGAGGGGGTGGGGGAACATCCAGGCCTCTTTGGGGCCTGAGTGATGCCAACATCTGGAGAGCACCAGGCTGTTGGGTGGTGTCATGCTTGGGAAAAATGTCATAGCTGGAGGGAGGAGGTGCCAGAAGCCCAGGAGGGCATGAGTCACAAGTGGAGGTGGCTCTCAGGAAGGAGCTTAGAGCAGAAGGGTGGAAACTCAGTCAACACAGAGCCCCTCGGCTGGACACCATGCTGCAGGGAAGCAGTCCTGGGAAGCCCTGCCCAGGGTCACTGTTCCAACCTCCTGTGTGCAGGGACCACCCCCTGTGCAGTGTTCGCCCTACGGACTTGGGCCCCACAGCCACCAGAGAGCCCCGGCCCATGGGTGAGTGAGGCGCCAGGGGAGGTGAGGAGGGAAGCGAAGGGTGGGCTCTTGCCTTCTGCCTCCTTCCAGATGGACCCCTCCTCTCCACTTAGCACCCAGCCACCCTGAGTCCTCTGTGCCCCACCCCAGCCCCTGGGACTCCTACCTACTGTGTTCACAGCATTTATCCTCTGCCATTGCTCCCAGACCCTGAGAACCCTGCCAGAGCCCAACAGCCTCCCTGAGAAGCCTGGGCCCTGTAGCCCCACCTGACCCCCAAGGTAGGTGGGGACCTGACGCAGAGCTTCCCCCCTCCCACTGCCCGTCCACCTACCCTCTCGCCCCTCAGCTCCCTAGCCCTACTCTGAGGTTTCTAGGCTTGGTTATTATGCAAATGAGACATGAGCTTCTCCTCTTGGTGAAGCTGGTGTCATGGAGACCAGGATGCTGGAAGCTTCTTGGAGGGGGAAGCAAAAGCTGTGGTTCTTCCTGGGTAATCGGTCCTCTCTGGAAGGACAGACCCCCCTGCCACATGACTTGCAGTCTGGGCTTCAGCCCTCAGGGATGACCATCCTCCTCATTCTCAGCAGGTCAAGTCCAGAAGCCAAGATCCTGCCTCTGGTGAGAAGTGGCTCCTGATTTGAGGAGACTTTAGGACAGGTGGCCACTGATAGCTACTCCAGGAACTTGGACCCCCAAGGGCAGAGCCAGCGAGTCAACTGACCTCCTGTACCTTCGGGCAGCTTGGAAGCTCCCACCACCCCACTCCAGGACCCCAGAGCCTCATCAGCAATTGCCAAGTGGGGTCCCCACCCCTCAGGGCTGTGGGATCTTGCTGGGTACACCCTCCGGCTTGGATAATCCACCAGACCCAGGAGCAAAGGCCTTTTAAGAAGTTTAGGGGCGCACATAACTGGGATATTGTCAAATTCTGCATCCTCTCACTCTTTACCTCTTTACCCCCGTTTCCCTTCTCTCTAGGATGGCTTCTTTTTTTCAGGCAGGTTCCCCTAAAAATGCTCCTGCAGAGTGCACCTTTTATAGTCCCAGCAAAAATCCCAGAATGAACTCTGATTAGTCCAGCTTGGATCACGTGTCCATTCATGAGCCAATCACGACAGCCTGAGAGACACTGTACATTCATTGGCCAGGCCTGGGTCACGCACAGTTCCCCGGAGTCCTGGGATGGCATCAGCCCAATAGAGCAAGAGACTGGGAAGGAATGGTTTCCATGAAAGAAGAGATAGATTCTGTTACTAGAAGAAACAATGCCAAACAGACAAAAATGGGTGTCTCCTATGTGAGATATTTGCTCTTGGAGCCACCTTTCTGTTTCAGCTCTGGAAGTCTTCCCAAAGACTTCCTAAGGATTAGATGACAAATAGATCCATAGATAATTTAAAATGTTAGCCAACGAACTCCAGAAGGAATGTGCAGAAATGGTCATAGTAGCATTATTTTCTCTCTCTCTTTTTTTTCCTTTGGCAGAGAGCATTATTTTCAATAGCTAAATATTAGAAAAAAATTCCAATATCCAACAATATAAGAATGGATAAAATATGATATAGTTACATTTGTGGAATACTATACAGCAGAAAAATGAACTGTTCTACAAACACCAATGTGAATAAATCTCAAAAGTGTTGAGCGAAAAATCAAGTTCCCGAGTGATAAATACAGTAAACCATTTATACAAAGTATGTACATATGCAAAACAATACTGTATCTTGTTTAGAGAAAGACAACATAGTCATAGCCAGGGAGTACTAAGGGAATTGGGGCTGGGGGTAGCACGGAACTGACAGGGGACACTAGGGCTAGTATGTTGGGGTCCCTCCTGGCACACTGAGGTGCTGGATCCCGTCACTCTGGCATCTACCTGAAAGCACAGCCTGGGGTGGGGACTCAGTGGGGGCGGGGAGTCACTACACTTCAAAGGCTCCTCCCAGAATGTTGTACACACCTGGGTTTCCACCGCGCTCCTGCTGGGAAGGTGCTAGGAAGCTGGCACCTGTCTGATTAAGGCTCTGCCTCTGCCATCCTTCTCTGTTCACTGTCGCCATGGAGCACTGCATAGGGTCCAAGCAGCTGCTGCTGCTACTGCTGCTACTGGGTGAGCACTCATCTCCTCCCCTACCCTGGCCTCTTTGTCCCTGCTCTTCTGGGACAGGCTGGGAGCATAAGAGAGTGATTCTGGGGAAAACCAGAAGCATGCGGGGGTGCTGGGGAGAGGCCTGTGCTTGGGGTGTGGGGACACCTGGCAACCTAACCCGCTCTGTGAGGAGCATCCACGTTTGGGCCCAGCTGAGCCACCCCCCTCCCAAGTCCAGCCTTGGTACCTGTGCCCCACAAACTTTCCCCTATTGTTTCCCTTCTCCCAGTTCTGTACCCCGCCCTCCGCCCTCAGGACTCTTTGATCAAATTTTGAGTGTCTCGCATCTGCTGTTCCACCTCCGACTGCCCCTTCCCCACCTGGGGCATGGGGAGGGTGGGTCGCTTTATGGCCTGTGGTGTAGAGACCAGGATCTGGTAAAGGTTTAAAGCAGGAGATCTTGGAGCTGCCACACGCTGATTTGAGGATGACAGGGTAAGGGCGCTCCTGGCAAGGAAGACAGGTAAGCTCTTAGAGGCAGGTCCAAAACCTCAGGTGATACTAGGTGCTGTTAGGGACCTCTCTGAATCCACACCCTGGCATCCAGGCCCAAACCGTGTCTCCAATGGCCAGAGCCATTCCTCGAAATCCCTCTTTGGCTTCCCTGGTGGCGGTAGAGGGGCTGGGGGAAGCCAGAGTCCAGATGGGACAGGATGAGTTAGACCTGAGGGAGCATCAGGAAGGACTGAGGCGAGAAGACACTGGATACAGGGGGCAGGAGGAGGCGCACAAGGTTGAAAAGGAGAGAGAAGCAGAAACCTATAGACCCACCCAATGGGTCTCTGTTGGGGGAGGTGGAGGAGGGGAAGGAAGGCAAGGCCAGGCGTCCCAGCGTGTCAAGAGGAGAGGACAAGGAGCAGCCGCTGTCCTCGATGCCATGTCTGAGAAGTCTCCAGGCCCCCAGAAAGCCTGCTTCTCCCATCAGGTAGGGCCCGTGAGGGTGGAAGAAGCCCCGTGGACCCCTCTGCGTGTGTGTGGCCATTCTAGGGCTAGAGGTGGTTCCGGGAAGGCCGGGCTCGGCCTCAATGCGTCCCCTCCAACCCTGACGTGCTGCAGAGACCCCCAGAGCCCGCGCCTGCACATCCTCGCGACGGAGAGCCGGTCAGCGCCAGTCGGCCACGTCTTTGGGCCACACTCTGTGTCCCTCGGGTTTTGAGTGCCCCCCGCCTTCCGAGAGCGTGGTCGGGGGTGAAGTGTGCACGCAAGGCGTACAAAGCACTGCAGCCTGCCCGCTCCTCCACCAGGGTCCGCGAGCCCGGCAGGAGAGAACCGATGCGTGGACGCGGCCGAGGCGTGCTCGGCGGACGCGCGGTGCCAGCGGCTGCGCACCGAGTACGTGGCGCAGTGCCTGGGTCGGGCCGCGCCGGGGGGCTGCCCTCGCGCCCGCTGCCGCCGCGCCCTGCGCCGTTTCTTCGCCCGCGCGCCGCCCGCGCTCACTCACGCGCTGCTCTTCTGCCCGTGCGCGGGCCCCGCGTGCGCCGAGCGCCGGCGCCAGACCTTCGTGCCCGCCTGCGCCTTCCGGGGCCCGGGCCCAGCACAGCCGTCCTGCCTCCAGCCCTTGGACGCCTGCGAGCGCAGCGCCGTCTGCAGGTGCGCATGCACAGGCGGGGCGCGCGGCGGGGCGGGGCCGGGGCGGGGCCACCGCCCTCTCACCGCCCTCCCCGCGCCGCGCAGGCCTCGCCTCCTGGCCTTCCAGGCCTCCTGCGCTCCCGCCCCAGGCGTCCCCGACGGCTGTCCGCCAGGCCAGGGTTCCCGCTGCCTGCGCGCCTACGCGGGTCTCGTGGGTACGCGCGGCTGAGACTCGGGCGCGGGCTGGGGCTCTTCAGGGATGCCCCGTTTGGGTGAGCCGATGACCACACCCTCGGGGGCCCTGCAGGCACCGTGATCACCCCGAACTACGTGGACAACACGAGCGCGCACGTGGCGCCCTGGTGCGACTGCGGAGCCAGCGGAAACCAGCGTGAGGAGTGTGAAGCCTTCCGGGGGCTCTTTACAAGGAACCGCTGCTTGGGTGAGGGGCCTGGGCATGGGGGTGGCACTTCCTGCCCCCTCCTAAGCCTCATGGCCTGCGGTAGGCCATGTTGGAGGTGAGGAAACTGAGGCTCTGTGCGGCAGCCACGCAGGCGCACCCCTACTCCTCTGCTGCCGTCCTGTCCCTGGAAAATCCGCTGGCAGTGGTTAGAGACCAGGTCCCAGACCAGAAGTAGAGTCCTAGGAATGTCAAGGCTGATGTTCCCGTGGGAGGGAGGAGGCGAGACTTAAAACAAGGACCTGGAATTGAACAAGGCGAGACTCCTACTTCCACACTGCTGAGGGGATTTCATCCCCCAGGCACGCCCAGCTCGCCCCCGACCCCACTGACGATCTTGCCTTTCAGAATCGGAACAGGTGGTCTCGGAGTTACGGGGCCTGAGTTTGAAGGCAGACCCTTCCACTTACTACCTCTGAGCCTTTTGTGTCCATCTGTAAAATGGGGATAATTGTTACCCTCCCCTGTGAGGATGGAAGACTGCACAGTTTGAGTTCCTCTTAGCACAGTTGTCCTTATTTTGTTATTCCTCCCATGCACCCTCCATCCTAAGGAGCCAGTTTGGCAACCACCAGGAGATCTCTGAGTTTGTCCCCAAGGGTCTGGGCCCTATGCTAGGGTTTCCCAGCCAAGCCCGCTCTGGACCCCTCCTTCCATAGATGGTGCCATACGGGCCTTTGACAGTGGGTGGCCCTCAATCCTGCAGGACCAGCTGGAGCCCCAGCCGGGCCCAGAGCACAGCCTTCTGCAGGTAGGTGCAGGGAGAGGATGGGACCGGCAGTTCCCCACTGTCTGCTTCACGCTGTTCCACGCCAGGTGTGCCTGGGTAGAGGCGTGAATGCCCAGGATGGGAGTGCAGGCAGAGTGCTCAGGTCCACACTCTGTCCCACCCCCGAGGTGTCTTCCACAGACAGGTCCCCAGAGGGGAACTCCCTGCTCTCAGTTCTCCCCATCCTGGCCTTCCAGGCCCTGCTCTGACCAGGATGGCAGACCTCGGACAACACCGCCAACTACCCCACTCTGCCTGGGGCACAGGGCCACATCTGTGGCCTGCCGCCCCACTGAAAAGGGCCTGGCTTCCCTCCCAGGCTGGCCTCCGTGCTCTCGCGCTGCTGCCCTTTGTAGGTCTGGACACCGTGTGCCTGTCCCCTGGGGGGAGGCTGGGGGCCTGGCTGCAAAGCCCTGGCTTGCCTGTCAGTGGGTGTCTTGGTGGTAGGTCCCTTTCTCCACAGACCTTGAGACAATTGGGGTCTCTCACAGGTTAAGGGGTAGGAAAGGGTCACTTTTGTAGCTGAGGCCTCCCCAGGGCCCCAGATCTCCTAGAGAAGCTCAGGACCATCCAGATTCCAGGAATTCCAGGAAATTGTCTCAGACTCCCAAGCGGGTAACACCATAGGACAGACTCACAGACTTGTAGGCAAGACTCACCACAGCTGCACCCTCCCTGGGCCCCCTCCCCGCTAGGCATTACCCACTGCTGAGCCACCTGCACCCCGTGGCTAATGTTGACCGAGTGCTTCCCATCTGCTATATGCTGCTTGGTGGGCCCCCCTGCCCCTGCATGGCACCAGCCCTGTGGCCATCTTCCCCTAATTTACCGCAGCAGTAGGAGTGGCATACTGTGCCCAATAAACTCATGTGCCCAGACTGACCTTGCTTTCTTTTTTATTTTTTTATTATTTATTTATTTATTTTTGAGGCAGTCTCGCTTTGTTGTCCAGGCTAGAGTGAGTGCCGTGGCGTCAGCCTAGCTCACAGCAACCTCAAACTCCTGGGCTCAAGCGATCCTACTGCCTCAGCCTCCCGAGTAGCTGGGACTACAGGCATGTGCCACGATGCCCGGCTAATTTTTTATATATATATCAGTTGGCCAATTAAGTTCTTTCTATTTATAGTAGAGACGGGGTCTTGCTCTTGCTGAGGCTGGTTTTGAACTCCTGACCTCGAGCAATCCGCCCGCCTCGGCCTCCCAGAGAGCTAGGATTACAGGCGTGAGCCACCGCCCCCGGCCCTCAGGCTGGTTTTGAACTCCTGACCTTGAGTAATCCACCTGCCTTGGCCTCCCAGAGAGCTAGGATTACAGGCGTGACCCACCACGCCAAGCCTGACCTTGCTTTCTTGTGACCTGTGTCCCGGGAGCCTGGAGTCCAGGATCTGCTGCAGGGGGTGTCCCTGCTGGCCTGTGTGAGCTTGGATGGCCTCAGACCCTCTCTGAGCTCTTCCTCTTATTTCCTCACCTACAGATGCTGAAATGAATCAACTCTGAGGCCCTAATGGCAGGGATTTGCTTTCATCTATACTTTTTCCTTCTCTGGTAGTACCCAGATAATGAAACTACATTTCCCAGCCTCCCTTGCAGCTGGGGTGGCCATGTGACACTGCCCAGTGTGAACCCAGCTAATGCCAAGGGAATTTTTAAGTTGCAGTTCCCCAAAGGAGTTGGGGGAGGAGAGGGCAGAACAATGGGGTCTAGGTAAGGTAGTAAGCCTTCTGCCTGTTTCCTTCTTCCTTGAAAGCTTGGAGACTCCTGATGAGTGAGAGCTCATCTGGGGCTACTGTGTCCCTGGGCTGCTCCTTCTCAGCTTACCAAGGTTTGGCAGGAGCCACAAAACAGGTTGAAGTAGAAGCTGTTGGTGTCTTGCTCAGAGACCTCTCTGGGCCAGTGCAGCCCGTCCACCAGCCACTGGGAACGGCAGCTGCTAACCCAGCTACAGCTGTCCTCTTCTCTATAAAATTGCCCTTCCAGAAATGCCTTATAGGTTCCACTCTGCTCCTAGAGGTGGCTGCAGCCAATGACTGATGCAGGGGTACAAAGGGCTGACCTGCCTGCCTCAAGAGGGGACGAGTCTGTGCCATTCGTGCTTCAGAGCTCCCGAGGGATCAGGCTGAAGCTGCACTCCAGCAGGAACCACATCCTGGCTCAGCTCCTGCCCCTGGCTCGTCCCGATTCCCTCACTCACCGTTTTGATCATGGCATGAGAATCCATGTCTTGGGCTTAGGTACAGATCACACCAAAACTCAGGCCTGGGGCTGTCCTGACCAGAAAATGAGCCACCAGCCCAGACAGAGTATTTATGTAGCAACTTATACCAAACCCACAGACACTGCTTGTTGGCAGCTGCCAACCAGCCTCCCAGCTTCCTCCCCGCTTGTAACAAAACAGATCAAACTGGCTTGAGCGTGTGGGCTTAGCAATCTGGGCTTCAGGCATAGCTGTCTCCAGGGGTTCGAATGATATTGGCCCTGCTGGTCTGTGCCTGGCTTCCCTCAGCTGCAAGAGGGTATGACTGCCACCATCAGCCTCTGGTTTACAATCTCTCCCTTCAGCGGTCTCGGTAGGGAAAGGCACCTCTCTTTCCCAGCATTCCTGACTGTCCCAGGCAGGACCCTGCTGGGCCCAGCATGGGTTATACGCCTCTTCCTGTGGCCTGGGGAGTGACATCAGCCCACCAGGGCCACGTGAAATGGGAAGGACAGTTTTCCAAAGAAAACAAAGGTGTTGGGCAGAGTGAAACTTAGTCAAACCCACTCTGGCTTTAAGAAGAAGAGGGATCCTCCCTCCCTACACCTGTGCGGGACAGATACCTGCCGGTGAGCTGAGGGGACACGGGGTGTGGGGTGTGTGCCCTGCTCACCACGATGGCACGGCAGCCCAGACACAGAACCAAATGTCTGCTAGGTGACTTGCCTTATATGGGAGTGCATTAACCTATTTGTCGTTTTTTTAACTAAAATTTTTTTCTTTGTATCCTAATTATTTGACATCTATTTGCCATTTTTGACTCAGTTAAATTAGAGTCCAATATAGGCCTTAAAAAAGTGGAAATGACTTCAAATAAAAATAGAATTCTGGATAAAAGTATAGGCATGTACCTTCTAAAAGACTGGGAAGATAAAGCAAACAAAATCTATTTTGAAATTATAAAATTGTTTCATGGCTGCTGGAGGTCCCAAAGAGATGTCCACCTCTCAATTCCTGGAAACTGTAAATGTTACCTTATATGTAGGCAGAAGAGTATTATCTTCCATGGCAATGGTGTGGGTAGGTTATGGATCTCAAAAGGAGAAGCTTATCCTGGCCCTAAATGCAACCACATGTATCCTTATGAGAGCCAGGCAGAGATGTCTAGAGGGAGACTAAACACAGACATGCAGGGATAGGCGACGCGAAGGACAGAGGCGGAGATTGGATGGTGCAGCCACAAGCCAAGGGATGCCAGCAGCCACCTGAAGGTAATGGAGGGAAGACACAGATTCTTCCCTGGAGCTGCCGACACCTCGATTCCAGACTTCCAATCTCCACAACCATGAGAATAAATTTGTTTTAAGCCAGTGAAGTTGTGGTGATTTGTTGTGGCCACCCAAGGAAATGAATAGAGTTGTCTAAGATTGTTAGAGTTTGGTTTCTGTTACTTCTACCTAAAAAGGTTCTGGTTTATACAAGGTGTGAAGTTTGGCCAGATGCCTCGAGGCTGAGTCCGGCTGTGGCCCCCACACCAGGAATGGATTGTGCCGTGTTCTTCCACGTCTGTGTCAGCCTTCGTGTCCTGCCAGGGAGCTGCCACTGCATGCACGGGCTCTGGGAGACTGCAGTCCCAGCCCTGAACGACACCCCTATGACTGGGTCTCTGTTACCTGTTGCCAGCATCAAGCCCCAGCCAGCAGGTGGCTGGGGGTGATGGAAGAAGGCAGGTGCTAGAAGCATCAGTGATTTGTTGGTGGAGAGGTCATGGCCCATGAATGCTGATCCTGGCGTGGAGCCCAGTGTCTACCTGTGAGGTTGAAGTGGAAGCCACTCACTGCCCACCAAGCAAGTCAGGCCAGACCAAGCTCAGAACCAGCTCATTTTTGCAGGAAGTGTGGACATTGGCCAGTGAAATTTCCAGAGGGCCAAGAGGATGGGCTGTGCAGGGCTTCAGGAGCAGTCCCTCAGCTGGACAGCGACTTGCCAGGAATGGAGGCAGGAACACATGGCCCTGCCTTGCCCGGCTGCAGGCCCGGGAAGGCGTGGGTTGAAGAATACCTTGGGAAGCTGTTCTGCCAGGGACACGTCACCCCACACCCCCATGCACCTCCCGTACAAGGCAGAATATACAGAGAGAAAAATTAAGACAAGTACATACACAAGAATATAACACAAGCTCAGAAACTGAGCCCTCAGGGACAGGAGCTAAATGAGGACAGCAGGGCTGCGGGGTGTGCAAACGGGCCCTGGCAGCAGAGCCAAGCCCTGACTCTGTCCAGCACACTTCCTGGCGTCATCGGGATCATCTGGTCTCATTTTTGTGTTGGGGACACAGGGTGGGAGGGAATTCCTGCCAGGCATGCTACACAGCTAGCAAAAGCAGGGCTGCAGGGCATTTGTCTGTTCACACGTGACCCATATAGGCATGTGAGGCTGCGGACTCGGATACCAGAAATGACATTGCCATTGGTGATGGAATTTTCCAAAGTGTTCAGCTCAGGGTAAAGTTTTTAAGAAAACAAAGTTCAGTCTTCCCTTGATGTACACAGTAGTTGCATTTCTGAAAAATTATATTAAACCGGCTGTCAAATACTATGTTTATAACAAGGTTAGGTTCCACCCTAAAATAATTAGAAACAGATGTTTTCATCTGCACAAATATCCAGCAAAACATTTGAAAATCAGGTGGGACATGGGTCATTTCTTTGCTGGGCGGGACAGTCTTGCACACCACAGGTTGTCTACCCCCAGGCCCACCTGCTAAATCGCAGCAGCACCTCCCCAATAGGACAGTCACACCGCCCCCACGTATTTCCAGAATGTTCCCCAGGGGGCAGTGCTGTGCTGAAAACCACGGCCACCCCTCAACTCCCGCTGCTGACACAGCCCACTGTGCTCCAGCCACCCCAGTTGCCCTGCCAGCGTCCACCCCCACCAGGCCTGCTGTCACCTCAGGGTCTCCGCACCTGCTCCTGTCGGGAATGCTCCTCCCCCAGATACCCGTATTCTGCTCCTTCCTTCATTCAGCATCCTGCTCAGCTGTCGTCTTATCAGAGTGGCCTTCCCTGGCCACACTATGTTAAGCAGCAGTCCCCAGAGCACTTTCTACCCCAACCCTACTTTTACTTTTCTTCACAGAACTTATCATCTGACATTTTATTCATGATGGTCTTCCCCACTAGACCATAAACTCCTTAAAGATGGGGATTTTTGTCTGTTTTGTTCACTGCAAAATCTCTGGTTCCTACACCATGCCTAGTCCTGTTGTGCTCAATAAAAGTGTGTTGAGTAACTAGAAGAATAAATCTAGAGGGATGAGAATTAACTCAGGCAGGGTAAGAAAAGATATCTAGTTCTATTATTAATAATTCTACCTTTGGTCTACAGTGGATGCTCTGTTCCACAGAGTCATGCAGGGACCCAGGCTCCTTCAGCTCTGTGCATTACCATCTTCAACACAAACCTGCGGGGTTGATGGAGAGGGTGGAGGAGACCCAGAGACACTCTAATGGCCTTGACAAGAAAGTATCACATCACTGGTGAGGACGAGTCACATGGTTCCATCCAGGTGCCCTGGGTCCTGTGATACAGTTGAAGCTATGGGCTCAGGAGGAGGAAATTGTGTGGTGAGCATTTAGCCAGTCTCTGGCCCAGTTTGCTGTTCTGGTCACCAAAACACATTTTGCTCTTCCTCCTCAACATGGGACACAGGCACCCCCTCCTAAGGGGGCAGTACAGGGTCCAATCCCATCCAGATGTCCAGGTGATGCAGTCGCCCTCAGGTGGCTCGTTGAAGTCCTGCCACTCTGAATTAACAAGACATCTTATGCACCCCTCCCTCCCACAGGCAGTGATGAGAGCAGGAGAGCAAGCAGGATGCTCTCTGCAACCCTCCCATGTGGGGAGGAGGAGGGTGGCAGACAAACAGCTGCAGCACTTTTGAAATCCCGCCGTGCTCTGCCCTGGTGGGGGCAGGGGGGAAATCCTTGCTCAGGCCCAGTTCTGTTCTCTGAGCCACCTGAGGTTGTAAGCCTTCCCTGCACGGTTCTCATAGCTATCTTCCTGCCGGAGGTTGGATTTTAGGCGTCTTCAATGGTCACTGGGTTTTGCTTTTAAGGCCATGTTAATGGTTTCTTAAGCTTACTACATAGTTTACTTATTTCTTTTGTTTTGCAGGCAGGGCCAGGGGCAGTGACTGCACTCATGGTCCTTTCCTGTACACAGTTCTCAAGTCGGCTTTATTTCTTTGCTTCCTTGTCCACACGCCTGTCCCTCAAGATGATGGCCTTGAGGTTGCCGGGCTCAAGTGGGAAGACCACACCCTCCAGCTGATCTTCACCACAAGGCCCTGTCACTGTGTCCCCCAAGTTTCCCTGGGTTTGTTGCTCACCTGCACCACTGCTTGCAGACCAGAAGCTTTTCCAACACTGCAAGGCCCTAGGCTTCAGGTCTTCCCACCCTTTTCCCTTCTGCTTGTAAACTGGCTAATTCTTTCTTGAACTCGACCCTTTCTTGGGATGCCTTGCCCAAAGCAGCTGGTAACAGCCAACTCATATGACGCTCTGTTTTTTCCCACCTCTTTCCCTCAAGCCAAACACTCAGCAGACACACAGTTTGCTTTCTAAGTTACTCAGCATAACAGACTTAGCTGTCCTGCCTGCTGCATCTGTTGTCTCACTGCCTGCCACCTGCCCACCAGCTAAGCTAATGCCACATATTTCAGGTTTTGGCTACAGGTACGTTGTGCTGATTTATGTGTCGATGACAGTAAGAAAAGCTAACAGTGGAACAAAGCTGCAGATCTCAATGAAACAGTAAACATTTGCTTTTCAGTGATGTAAAGACCAGCACAGCTCTTGCTGATTAGGCAGCTGGCCTCCAAAGTGGTGACTCAGGGACCCGTGTTTCCTCCAACATCTTTCACATGTGGCCTCCAGGGAGAGTCCCACGTGGGAGCATTTTATGTTCCAGGTTTGCAATTGGTACGCATCACTTCTTCCAACATTTCATTGGCCACTGCCCAGTCTGGCCCTAACCTAACTGCAAGGAGGCTGGGAAATATTGTTGACTTGTGGATGCAACAGTAAAATCTAACAGGTTTGGTAAACATACAGTATTGTCTCTGCCAAAATACCACCAATCATAGGTTTTTATCCTGTCAGAAACTGTTGGTGCCTCCTACATCCCCCTCTGGGACAGTTTCAAGGTCCTTCCCAGCTTGGTTACAGCCACCAGTCCAGCCACTTTCCTCCCCGACCCCGCCCTGAACTCTAGGGCAAGCCTCCTCCAGGCTCCACCCCTCCCCTCGCCGGCCCTGGCCCCTGGTGCCTCACCACCCTCCCTACAGGAGCAACTGGCCTTCCTGTGTTTCCTCCTTTTTTTAATGGCCTCGTCCTTCTGGAAGAAACTTCTAGCACCAGGATCCTGCACTCTGTACCAGGGCTCTGAAATGAACCAAATAATATGGGGCAGGGCACACAGGAGGCCCACAAACAAGGCGCTGTCAATGGAAACTTTTATCAAAGAATCAAGGACTGCCGTGGGCACAGTGGCTCACGCCTGTAGTCCTAGCACTCTGGGAGGCCAAGGCGGGCAGATTGCTCAAGGTCAGGAGTTGGAAACCAGCCTGAGCAAGAGTGAGACCCCATCTCTACTATAAATAGAAAGAAATTAATTGGCCAACTAATATACATATATAGAAAAAATTAGCCAGGCATGGTGGTGCATGCCTGTAGTCCCAGCCACTTGGGAGGCTAAGGCAGGAGGATTGCTTGAGCCCAGAGTCTGAGGTTGCTGTGAGCTAGGCTGACGCCACGGCACTCACTCTAGCCTGGGAAACAAAGTAGACTCAGTCTCAAAAAAAGAAAAAAAAGAAAAAGAATCAAGGACAAGGACAAGGGCCAGGCACAGTGGCTCACACCTGTAATCCTAGCACTCTGGGAGGCCAAGGCGGGCAGATTGCTCTAGGTCAGGAGTTCGAAACCAGCTTGAGCAAGAGCAAGACCCCGTCTCTACTATAAATAGAGATTAATTGGCATATATATATATATAAATTTGCCAGGCACGGTGGCGCATGCCTGAAGTCCCAGCCACTTGGGAGGCTGAGGCAGGGGATTGCTTGAGCCCAGGAGTCTGAGATTGCTGTGAGCTAGGCTGACGCCATGGCACTCACTCTAGCCTAGGCAACAAAGTGAGACTCTGTCTAAAAAAAAAAGACAAAAAAAGACAAGGACAAGGCAGTGGCCATTGGAGGACCTGTTGGCATACCCATGACTCAGGAGCTCAGGAAAACTTAGAGAGACATTTAGGAGCCTACGAGGAGATGGGGAGGTGACAGGTAAAGGGAGGCAGCTGAGCCACAGGACTCCCAGGTCACTGTCCCATGCCCTCCGGGCACGCAAATGCCAGAATGGAGGCTCCAGGGACTCTGCTCACAAGCTGCCCGGAGAGGTGCCCAGGGGGTTTACACCTTCACCTCCATGACTGCCAAGTGCTTCCTCTGAGGCAGTCTGAAAACTGATAAACACTTTTTCTTTTCTTAAGGTTCTAATGACCAAAGTGTAAATATAAGCAAAAAAACACAATCAAAATTAAACAGAACAAAAACCACACTTTTACCAGATCTACTTTTATTTCAGAAGGAAGTTTGTATTATAGTATTTACTTTTGTTTATATACAAGTTCTTCACATTTGTGTTTAAAATGCACAGACCTCCCTTAATCTCTTGTTCCTGCTTAAATTAGCTGTTATTTTACAATACAAAAAATACCAAAAATTGCAGTCCTAAATGTATGTATAACACCCACAATCCCCAGCAATGAAATAGTTTACAATACTTACTCCATATTTACATGAGTGCAATAGATGCTAAATTATACATATTAACAAACTAGCTTGAATCCAACCAAATAAAACAAAAAAAAACCAACAAAAAACCGTAAATAACTATAAAACAAAAACATTTCCAGAGCCAGAATTAGTTCAACAAAACAGGCTTCACTAGTGTTTTGAATGTTTTGTGCACAAATTCAATTACTGAAAATCGACTCCATTATTGCCTTTAAAAGAGAAGGCGCCACTTCTCCTTTGCACTGCAAAGCGTCTCCCTGCAGGCCGGGTGCCTGCTGGTCTGAGCGACTCTCTTCGAGGGGCAGTGTCTCTCAGTGGGCCTGACTATCTAGACACCATCACGGTGACCTTTATGGCTGGAGCAGAGTTTGGTCAACGGGGTGAACATTTCAGACGGGAGGCAGGGCACACCTCGTGGACAGGAGGCCACTGCCACCTTCCAAGATCAGTCCTTAGGATGGCCAATTCTCACAGAAACCACAAGGAAGGATCTCCTGGGATGACAGGGGAGTGAGGAGTAGGATGCTGCAATTCTAAAAAGCTACTTTTTCATCTTGGTCACTACCCCTAGGCATTAGCTTAGGTCAGTAAGTGTTTAGTAAAAACACAGTATTTGTTGAATGAATGGATGAATGAATTAAACGGAAGGATCAAAGGTGTTTGTGAAAATGACACCATCACCCAAGGAAGTGCATCAGCCCTCCAGCCCCAATATAATACTCTATTAAGCTGAAGGGGCGAGATTTACACTGGGAGGTGAAAGGTCTCTCTCCTACCCGCAGTGCCCTGGTCTTGTCATTGGCCCCCCACTTCCCAGCGCGTCTCCAGTCTCGCACTCAGACCTCATCCACAGATATCCCATTATTTCCCTTTTGCTGACAGTCTGTCCAGGGCTGCAATCCTCTGGGTCAGCTCAGACTATGGGCTGCCATCCCCCCACACCTCTTCCCACCTCTGCCCATGGCCTCGAGGGGAAGCACAGGCCCCCCCAGCTGTGTGTAGGGAGGTGGCAGGAGGTAGACAGGAGTACAGGGGGTATAAAACTCTCCATGTAGAAATGGAAGCTATTTAGCAACTAACTAGCCTCCCCACTCCCACCCCTGGTTTTCAGGATCATAAACTATGGTTCTGGGAAATGGTCATTAAAAATTTCGACAAAACTAAATGCAGCTTGGAGAACCCCTTTTTGGAAAGTCTGATTTCCACAGGTTATGGTATTTGAACTTAAAGACTAAGAGAAATGTTTCTCAGGACAAAACTGATCCTCCCTGGTCATTCAGAGTACCGAGAGGCTGCCAGGGATTCAAGATGTGCATGTAGAGCCAACAACAGCAACAGAGAGACTCTTGCTTCCCTGAGTCTCAAGTACTGCTGTTTAAGCAGATCCCTGCCAGCCTTGCACACATGTTCTGACACAGTCCTGTTTTAAGTGTTATCTAATTGGTAACAGATGCACTTGAACACATCAACACGATGGGGGTGCTTTTCTTGGCTTTGTAATTAACGGATCAGGGCCTGAGGAGAGGACTTCTCAGAACTTGGATACCCAGTACATGGCACAAAAACATCTTAGGTGAAACTTGGACATTGTTACATTTAATAAAAATACATTAAGATATTTTTCTGTTTTATGTACATCCTGAATGTCTGAACATTCTGGACACTACTGTATAGTTATTTACAAGTGCAAGATCAATGTTGTCATGACGATTTTAATTTATACACAGGCTCTCCTGTGACACGAGGTCACCAGATGGTGACCCATTCCCTCTTGGTGACCGGCTCTCAGCCCAGCTCCTCTCACTCCCTGCCACTCCCTGTTTCTGCCCTGAGCCGGGAGGAAGCTGCTTGCTGTTGGCTGCAAAGGAGAAGCAGGTGGATCCAGCTGTTTCTCCACTGTTGGAGCAGAACTAAACTTCACTTGCTCCTTCCTTCCTTTTAAAACATAAACATTATCTTTTAGGAAAAAAAAAAAAGACATAACCAGATGGCTGTGGGTCACGGTGCATGTTATTTCAAGGCATAGGACTAACACGGGGAAGAGACTTCTTTGGCCAAGGAAAAATTGGTCCTTTGAACAGACAAGGAGGATCTTCCTGCAGGACAGTCCCCAGCAGCCCCGTCGTCTCACGGAGGGGCCTGCGGTAATCAGGGGCCAGGGGCCAGTCCACTGCAGGCGCTTGGTGGGTGCTGTGTTCTGGAGCAGGGATGTGGGGAGCTCATAAGAGGAGGGGTCTTTTCTAGAACCGTCTGCTCTTTAACAATTACGTGGAAAAGAAGCTTCTTGAGAGCTGAGTCTCAAGGTAGAGGTGTTTTGTGCATTAGACAGTGTTTTATGGTTCAATTTTCTTGAAAATATATTTCCAGGCAAATCTTCATGGGAGTGGGGTTAGTGTTGGGGAAAAGATAATGCTCCCTCTCTAGGCACTGCATTTAAAGGTGAAATGCCGCAGTTTTTGCTCTTTTGAGTATTCTGCAAATTCACAAGCTTGAGCACTGCTATCCAGAGGTCCGTGCCAACAGGATAATGCCGAGAATCTCAGTTTGAAACCGAAGAGAGCCCCGGGAGGCTGCTGCATAATGCCAGAATACAGAGCACCATAAATGGGGAGAACACAACGTCCAGGCAGTGCCCTGTGGGAGAAGAGCAGGGGACTGTCCCACCCTCTTAAATTTGGTCATCTTCCATATGACATACACTTTTCCCTCCTTGTCCATTTTTTTCCATGTGCTTTTCATCCTTGTCAGCATTCGCTGCCCTCCTCACAGCCACCGCTTCAGTCTGGGAGGGAGGACGGTGGGCCAAGCCCCTCCTGGGGGAAAGAGGGCAAACAGCTCCAGGTCCTGCTCCAGGCTTTAGGCAAGTTCTGCCCAACAGCGGGAGGCTGTCCTTCTCCTGGCATCTGACTCCACCCAGCCTGAGAATGCCCCACAGCTCGGAGCAGGCTACAGGAATAGCACACGGTCATTCTTTGATCCAGGGGTCCGAGTGCTCTCAGTGCTCTTTTCTGCTCAAGGAGACACATGACATGAGCGAGTCCCTTCCTCTGTGGTGCCCTGGCAGGAGGCCAGAGGGCTGATCACATTCAGGCTTAGGGTGACACCGGGGTAGGGGTGGGGGGCACCTTCTTGACAGTGTTCTTTTTGACAAAAACAGGAGCTTTCACAATTAGTTCATTTCTGCTTTCCTCTCGGTCCCTGCTGCTAGGTCAAATGTTCCTTGGGGTGAGAAAATTCTTTCCTGGGCTGCAAATTAGATTTTAGAAAAAGAGCAGATTGCCAATGGTAGCTATTTAAATTTTACAAGAATGTAGGAATGCAATTATGTAAAAACTTAGGCTTACTAACTTTCCAATTGCTAGATCTATTTAAAGTCTAGGCACTTAGTGTATGTGTATGTGGTGTGTGTTTGTGAGAGGGAGAGGTGTGGACAGGGAGAAGGAAGAGGGGGGAGAAAGGAAGACAAAATTTCAAATGGAGTAAGACTAAATTAATCACATTGCTACAGAAAACTACTACATCAATTTACATTCAAAGTAACAGCTGACCTTGACATTTAAAATAGCCCCCTTCTATCCTAGCTTGATATGATTCAAAAGAGATGGACCATTATTAATTCTCAACTAGAAAAAAGCTACTCCCTGGAAGAGAGAGATCTGCCTAAATCGTGCAAGAATAGATAGCACATCTTTTAAAAAAGACAGCAGGTTTCAGATGACAATAAATTAATTCATCTGACTAGTTTTTAAAAGACCATGTTCAAGAACAACTGGTGACTGATGTCTACTTGTAAACACTCCATCTTTTGTTTTTTGCACAGTTGAGACAGTCCCAAGAACGCTGTCCACACGTGAACCTGAGCGCCACTCCCAGCTCTCTGCTGGCTCTGCACCGGCCCCTCCAGCAACAACCAGCCCATCCCTGGAGCTGTGATTCCATCAAGTATTTCCTATGCAAAAGTAAAAGGTTAGGTGGTGAAACACGGATGGGAGAAACCGTCAAAGAAAGCTTGTGATCATGCAGGTGAGTGGGATGCTTCGAGGGTCTCTAGCCTTCTGCCCTGAACCGTACAGCCGCTCCCCTGCGGCGCCCCCCCTGCAGACGGCTCTGGCGTGCCACGCACTCGCTCGTGTGCGGGAGAGTCCCTGGCCCCAGCATCAGATGCAGGTCCCAGGCTGTGCGGGGGGCTGCTGCTTCCGGTTTCTCACTGCTCCCGACTTCTCTTTGTACACTATTGGCATCTGCTGAGAAATGTCCACCAGGGCGCTGGCCACGGCAAGACCTTGGGAGAACCCACAGGGGGAATACATGTTAAGAAGCAGCTTGTTTTGTTCTGAAAAATAATTTTAAAATTTCTTTTTACATTCCCATGGAGCCAAAAAAAAAACAACAAAACCACAAAGGTATGCAGGGGAAAGTCTTACTTCCCTCCTGTCCCTCCCTCCAGGTAAACTCTTTCATTAGTTTTTGTACATTCCTTCAGCATTTGCTTATGCAAATACAAATACGCATTCTCCCTTCCCCACGCCTGACACACAGGTGCAGCTTTGTTTTTCAGCAGACCAACCAAAGTGCTGCCTGGTGGTGGGCCACACAAATGACACTGCAGACATGCTCTAAGTGCTCAATTTCCCCTGCCTGCCTCCAAAGGGTGCCTAGAAAAAGCAGTGTGTTTTACAATTAAAATTTGGATTCATCCCGCATCACTCAGTCATTAGTTATTTTCATAGCTACACCATGACAAAGGGCAGAGCAGACTCTGGGCCAGGCTTTGGAATAAGCATGGTTATTTAACTGCCCTGTAACTCAGTTTCCTCATTTGTAAAATGGAATAATCATGGTGCAGGACTAGGGTGAAGAGTTGGTGAGTGAATCAACATGAAGTCTTAGGGCAGTACTGGCACGTACAACAATCAGTAATTATTCCTTTCACTCTCCTCACCCCGCCCACCTTTGCTCTGGGGACTGTGGCCCCATTTCCCTTTCTATACTAGTCACTGATTAGCCTGGTGTTCACTAGGGAAGGCGCAGTTCCGGGGAGCTGGATTCCTGACACATAGGGGAACTGGCTGGCCCAGGCTCAGAGCCCCCGGAGGCAGCCCTCGGGAGCTGTTAGCAGAGCCTGTTACTCACCTCCTGGGGCCTATGACATGGGGCAGGAGGGGGGCAGCTTTAAGTGTCTAGTGTAGTGCCCAGTGGGGGAAATGCATGCCAGCAACACACGGTTATGGCAAAAGCAGAGCTGGTGCTCTGGGAGTCCAGAAAAAGGCATCATTAAGACAGCGGGTGCAGAAGGGACGACCCCGGGGCTTATGCAAGCAGGAGCAGCCTGTAGGAGTCCTGGGGGTTGTGAGATATTGGGGAAAGGCTGGAGCAGGGAAGGCTACAGGGTTGCAAACCTGTCACCTCCCCACACCTGGCAGTGCCTTGCTCCCAGGGAGCACCAGCCCATGTTTGGTAGGCAGGGTGGTGGCCAGAGACACACACTGCCCCCTAGTGTCAGGTCACATGGTCACCCTGTCATCCACATGGGCAAGGTCAAGTCAGGGGCTCAACAAACAGGATTCCCTACATGACAGTCAGACAATGAATCCTCAAGGCCACCCTGGTGAGGACACCACAGATCCCGATCATTCAGAAAGCTGAACTGAGGCTCTTCTGAGGGTGCGATGAGGGGAGCTCAGAGCCTAGAAGGATCCCAGGACATCCTTTCCTCACAGACCCGAGCTTCGCTCTGGCTAAGGCAACCCTGACTCCCAGAATCATCTCGGACGGAAAGGTGACTAAAATGGTCACATTGTTTGAGGCACCCTCCAAGGTACTCCATGATTAAGCAAGATATTTCTAAAACTATACTCCATATTTCCTTTGTGTTCAAAATAAGAGTACAGTTATATGCATTACGATTCATATATTTGATGGAAAAGTGTAAAAGACATTGGTAAAATATGATGTAGTACGCTGTAAAAACATTTATAATTATATCATAAAGCACAGTGAGGAAAAAGAATAAAAATTGGATTAATATAATTATTTGAACTAAACATTTCAACTAATTATTTCAGCCAGGGCTGAAAAGGAAACAGAACAATGAAACTTGGTGAGTGTTAGTACAGTAGAGCTGTGAGTAAATTTTCAGAAATTTCCCTTATGTTGTTAATTGTTGTTTGTGTCTTATGTTTAAAACAGAATGAAAAAGCAAAAGATTTCTCAAAAGAAATACCCATTTAAGAACCACCAGTTTTGAGGAGACGGCTGGAAGCCATGGAGCAGAAGAGGTGGCCGAGGAGGAGCACATGGAGTGGGGGGAGGGAGCCTAAATTTGGGGACAGAACAAGGCAAGAGAGCCAGGAAAGGAGCAGCAGAGCCACAGCAGGACCAGAACGAAGCCCTGGCCAGAAGCTCTAACAACCACTGAGAGGCTAGGTGGTCAGGCATGGCAAGGTGGGCCAAGGACTTCTCCCCAGGAAGGGAATGGTGACCCCAGGAAAAAAGTTTTGGGAACATAAGTAACAATGGGATTACCTCACCAAATCTCTGCCAGGACATGTGACAGGCACTGTTCCTTATCACCTTTATCCCCAAGCTAAGGGAAGTGTCCAATGCTTAGCTCTTTCACAGTCCAAGATATCTCTGTCACTGGTTGTCATATACTCACCTGACTGCCCAGGAGGAGGGATGCCACCCAGGCCTCGGGGGAGCCGCACAAACACAGAGAGGACAGCGGCTTTGTTGCCAAAACATGGCTCCAGGGCAATGGGTTTGGGAACAGTCTGCTGGAAGAAAACAGAATTACCTAGCATGGTGTTTCTCAAGCCCTAGCACACACGGACAGCTTGACGGTCACTGGTGCTTACAAGGACCATCCACTTTAAGTATATGGGAACAGCTACACCACACCTTTTTTAAGATAATGAAAAGGACATGTTAAAGCTACAGTAATCACTGCACATCAGTGACAGGGATGGTACTACTTGCCACCCTCCACTGAGGTCTCCACATCCGTCTACCCAAAGGACTGCATGGACTGTATGGAAGGGGCCATAACAAGGTGGTTTCTTTTGACCTCTGCCCTTTTACTCAATTTGAAATCCTAACTCATAACTGTAGGTCACAGCAATGGCAGTGAAGTATGTGGTATATTTGTCAGTGGGATCGGCATACCTAACTCAACACGGATATGGATATTCTGGCGACTTTTTAAAAACTCAAACTTATTTAATCTCCTTCAGATACTAAGTAGACAAGCCCACTGGATGGCTGACCAAACAGACTCATCTACTCTTTGAATGCATTTGGCTCTGGAAAACATAATTTGCCTTCTTTATAGCACATCCTCTTAGACATTTCTTTTGTATAGGTCTGTTAGTGGCAAATTCTCAGTTTCTTTTCTAATTTGAAGATTACTTTATTTCATCCTTGTTCTTGGGAGGTACTTACTGGGCACACTATTCTAGGTTGGCAATTCTTCTCTTTCAGTACTTTAAATACATTCTTCCATTCTCTTCTGCCTTCTGGTATTACTAATGAGAAAGCTGTCATTTTCCATTCCTTTGTAGGTGATCTTTTCCCATTTTTAAAAACTTGTGGTAAAATACATGTAAAATTTAACTTTTTTTTTTTTGAGACAGAGTCTTGCTTTGTTGCCCAGGCTAGAGTGAGTGCTGTGGCGTCAGCCTAGCTCACAGAAACCTCAAACTCCTGGGCTCAAGCAATCCTTCTGCCTCAGCCTCCCGAGTAGCTGGGACTACAGGCATGCGCCACCATGCCTGGGTAATTTTTTATATATATACTAGTTGGCCAATTAATTTCTTTCTGTTTATAATAGAGACGGGGTCTCGCTCTTGCTCAGGCTGGTTTAGAACTGACCTCGAGTGATCCGCCCGCCTCGGCCTCCCAGAGTGGTAGGATTACAGGCGTGAGCCACCGCACCCGGCCAAAATTTAACTATTTTTAAATGTAGTTCAGAGGTACTAAGTATATTCATACTGTTGTGCAACCATCAACACTATCCATTCCTAGAATTCTTTTCATCTCGAAAAACTGAAATTCTGCACCCTTTAAACACTAACTCCCCATTCTCCCTTCCTCTAGCCCCTGCCAACCACTATTCTACTTTTTGTCTCTATGAACTTGATACTAGATACCTCTTACACATAACATTTTTTGGTAACTGGTTTATTTCACTTAGCATAATGTCCTCAGAGTTCATCTGTCTTGTAGCATGGGTCATAATTTTCTTCCCTTTTAAGGTTGAATAACATTCCACTGTATGTTTATACCATATTTAGTTTATCCATTCATCCACTGACAGACTACTTGGGTTGCTTCCACTTTCTGGCTATTGTGAATAATGCTGCCATGAACACTTATGTACAAATACCTCTTTGAGATTCTGCTTTCAGTTCCTTTGGGTATATACCAGAAGTGGAATCACTAGATCATACAGTAATTCTATTTTTAATTTTGGGGGGAACACCAGTACTGTTTTCCACAATCACTGTAACATTTTACATTTCCAACAACAGTGTACAAAGGTTTCAATTTCTCCACGCTGTTGGTGATCTTTTTTTCCTCTGGCTGATTTTAAGATGTTTTCTTTGTCTTGGAGTTATGCAATTTCATTATGATAAATCTGACTGTAGTTTTATTTCCTGCCTGCCTTCCCTCTTTCTTTAATCCTGCTTATAATACGTTTTGCTTCTAGAATCTGTATATTCATGGTTTCCATCAGTTCTGGAAGGTTCTCAGCTATTATTTCTTTGAATATTGCCTCTTCTCCATTCATTTGTTCTTAGATTCTGAAAATACATAAGTTGGAACTCCTCATTCCACCCTCCACATTCTTACTATCTGTCATAGTCTCTATCACCTTGTCTCTCTGAGCTGCATTCTGTGTGATATTTTTAGATTCATCTTCCACTTCATAAATTGTCTATGTCTGATGTGCTGTTTAACATGTAATTAAGTTATTTATTTTTAAAAAATCCAACTACTATATTTTTCATTTCTAGAAGTCCCATTTGGTTCTTTTTCAGAGCTGCTTGGCCATTCTTGACTCTCATGGCTTCCTCATGTTTATGATTCCATCTTTCATCTCTTTACACATCTCATACATAGCTATATTATATTCTTTAGATGCCAATTCTGACTTTTGATGTCCTGTCCAAATCCGTCGTCTGTTGTTTCTGCTGGTTCTTATTCATGGTGGCTTGCCTCTTCTTGTCCTTGGTGATCTTTAATTACTTGATCTTGATCTGTGGGAATCCTACAGGGCTGAACTGCGGATGTCTTCTAAGAGGATTTGCATCTATCTCAGGTGGGTGTTGTGATATGCACCAATCTGGAACCACTTAAGACAACTCATGCTTCTGGTTTTGATTTATGACTTGTTCTTTTCAGGGGAGGGAAGGGAGAGTAGTCCCTGAAGATTTCACCTACTTCCTGTTAGCTCAGTAACACTAAGTTTTATTCAGGATTTATAGTTACTTTCCCAGGGTATCTGAATATTTTGACATTTTGTCAAAAGGAAGTCTCATCACTTTCTCCATCATTTTGGGTGGGGGTCAGAAAGATTTCCTAAAAGAATACATACAGCCTGAATTATCATTTCACTGCTTAAAAAAAACCCAAAATATAAATATCTATAAAGAACAATGGTTCAATTTGGCTATTTTCAAATAAGAATTCTAAAGTATTATGCCACAGAATACTTAATATAAGACAAGCCATTTATATTTTAAAATCCCCTGAACATGAGACTGCTTAGTGACATGAACCAAAGACTAGAAAATGAAAGGAAAAGAAGACTCAACAACTTCAGTGTTTTAGCTTATTATTTTAGCTTAGAGAGAGGTAAAAAAAATAAGTAATGAAATAAGGCTTTTTTGCCCTCTCTGGTTTCCCAGATTTAGAAGCCTGAGTTTTAAAAAGTTAAGTTATAGGAACTTGTGAATCACGTTCTCACCTTTATACTCCCTCCAATAAGATCAGGAGGCTCTTCATCTGTTTCCAAGGCAACATTGACAGAGGCAAAGGGACGGCTGGCCATCTGTTGCATCTCGCGAAGAAGTTGCTAATAAATAATACAGCAAGCGTTAATGCAGCAAGTACTGAGGGGATTTTATTAGTTAATACCACATATCAAAAATACTTCATCCTTCCTGATTCAAACAAATCAGGTCCAAAATGATACTTCTGTGACAAAGAAAACTGGACATGGGCCAGGTATTAGATAACATTAGGAATTATTAAAATTTGTGGGATGTGATAACACTACTCTTGTTATATTTTTAAAAAGTCCCTGTTACATACTAAAGTACTGTGGTCTATTATGTCCGCTTGTTAAATATGTCAAATGAGGTAGCCCTGTCTCTTCATATTTCTATTACTAGATTAAAGTCAGGCTTTCTTTCTTCCTGATAAAACTTCTACCAGGTATTCATACAGTAACAAAAACCTGTGCCTCCTTACACAGCAGACAGGAACTGAGAGAACTCTTCATTCAGAGAGGTGATGTAAGATAAAAATATAAACAAACGTGGAATTCTGTAGAGGGACAAGCAGGGGCTCTGAATTTGGGGGGCTTGGCTGTGAATCCCTGCTCCTACGCTCTCCAGCTGTGTGACCTTAAGGAAGGTGTTTCAAGTCTAGGGGCTCCAGTTCCCTCCTCTCTGAAATGTGTTTCTATCCCCTAAGATTGTCACTGAGATCAAATGAGATACTATAGCACAGTACCTGGCACATGGTGAATGCCCATTCATATATCATTAAGGGTGTCGGAGATCTTCTGGGCATGTTGTTGAAGCTTTGAGGTTGTGCCATGGAAAACAAACAGGCCTTACTTTTAACTATCTACTCGGAACTATTGTAGGAGACAGAATCTTGGGATGGATAGATCATGGCTCTGATCTAGAATGGCATTTTTATATTAAACATTTTCTTAAAATACCAATAAGGACATTTCTATATTTCATAAAACTGTTGGTCCATTTACTCAATAAATATATGCAGCAACACCTCTCTGGGTTCAGTATTATTCTAGGCGCTGAGGTCACAGTGGAGTGACCTATCTTGCTCCAGTTTCCATTCTAGTGCCTTTATGAAGAGTACAGGAGATAACATGTGTAAAAGCACTTAAACCAGGTTCTAGTATATGGCAAGGACTTAAAGAGTGGCAGCTGCTACTATTATTGTTGTTACAAATAACATCAAATTATTGCTTCTACAATTCTGGGACGGAATGAATCATGACTGATATTTTAGAAATGATGAAACCAGTTAGGTTCATAGTTACAGAGAAATTTCAAATCATAAGGGTAAAAGCTTAGTTTATTAGTTGATCAACTACATGCTAAATGCACTTTTTTTTGTTTGTTTTTTTGAGACAGCAGTCTCACTTTTGTTGCCCAGGCTAGAGTGAGTGCCATGGCGTCAGCCTAGCTCACAGAAACCTCAAACTCCTGGCTCAAACGATCCTCGTGTGCTCAGCCTCCCAAGTAGGCGTGGGACTACAGCAGTGTGCCGACCATGCCGCATATTTCTTGTATATATTTTTATGGTCAATAATTTCGTTCCTATTTTAGTAGGACCGGCGGTCTCGACTAGGGGATGGGTCTTCGAAACTCCCAATACCTCGAGCAATCCGCCCGCCTCGGCCTCCCAAGAGCTAGGATTACAGGCGTGAGCCACAGCGCCCGGCCTAAATGCACTTTTTTAAACCTTTTTTTCTACAGGGTGTTCATCTCCTTATTTTCTCTCTCATGTATGTTGCACATAATCCTGTTGATTCATTTATTTTTGATATACTTAAGTATTAATTTTTATGCAAACAAATCTCTGAGTCTTAATAACCTTATATGAAAATAATAATTTTGTCTCCTTTCCAACAGTAACAAAACTTCTTATTGCTTTTGCAAGTAATGCACAGTCTAAAACAACCAGAACAAAATTAAATGACCTTGGGGACTACATGATGATTAGGAATTTGGGCTGTGAAGGCTGAAGTCCATAACTTAAAGCCAAGTTCTGTCTATTAGTAACTATGTGATGATGATAGGTAACTTTGCCTCTCTGATCCTCAGTTCCTTCATTTATAGAACACGGCTAGTGACAGTAACTAATTCATATGGTTAGTATGAGGATTAAACTAATTAATTGACATAAAACCATTTAGAACAGGACTTAGAATTTAGAAATGCTCAAATATCAGCTCTTATTATGACATAACTTGTCTGGATTTTATTGGCACAACTTCTAGTGTTTTCTCATCATGAGTGATGCTGGTTATCTAGATATTCTTCATAGTGTTAAAAAGATATTTTTGAGTTTACTAAGAGTTTTGTTATTAAATTAGGAATAGGGTTTGAATTTCAATAAATGCTAAATGACTACTTCACCTCTAATAAGAATTTAGGTGTTATATATTTATTTATTTATTTTTGAGACAGGGTCTCGCTTTATTGCCCAGGCTAGAGTGAGTGCCATGGCATCAGCCTAGCTCACAGCAACCTCAAACTCCTGGGCTCAAGCAATCCTCCTGCTTCAGCCTCCCGAATAGCTGGGACTATAGGCATGCACCACTATGCCCGGATAATTTTTTATATATATATATATATATATGCATGTTAGTTGGCCAATTAATTTCTTTCTATTTATAGTAGAGACGGGGTCTCGCTCTTGCTCAGGCTGGTTTTGAACTCCTGACCTCAAGCAACCCACCTGCCTCGGGCTCCCTAAGTGCTAGGATTACAGTCGTGAGCCACTGGACCCGGCCTTAGGTGTTATTTTTTACACACTGATACCATATATTCTAATAGGTTTTCTGATATTAAATGATTATTTTATTACACTGGCAGCTGGACTAATACACATACATTTGCTATGAAACTGGCCTTTATATTTTGGTGCTGTCTTTGTCAGGTTTTGGTATCAAGGTTTCTATGCATAAAGTGAGTTGGGAATCTTTTAAGCTTCCCATCTTTTCCTTTTCTCTGGAACAGTTTACAGATTTCGGAAATAATTCCCAAGGAGGAATAGGCTATCATTATCTCCATGAGCTCATCTCAACCTTGAAACTCCCTAGGTCTAATGCTTTTCTTGGAGACAGTAATGCTTCAACACATTCTCAGTTCTTTTCCTGGTTACCAGCTTATAGTATTTTCTTACTTCTTTCTTACTCCATTTTGATAACTTATATTTTTTCAGAATATCCTATAATTTATTGGGATTTTAAAATGTTATCAGTAACAGAGCTATTTAAAAACTGTCTGAATATGTTATCCCCTGAATTAAAAATAAATAATAATAAAGAGGATGCAACATTCCCACTATGACAACATCACCCCACATGGGTGGCCCACAGGAAGAGGCCCATATCCTGGAGCCTCTCTTAACCCTGTTACAGACACTAATGTTCTACGAATAGCACTGAGTGTTTATGACTTGTGATTTTAGATAGTTCAATTCTCTTCTAAATCTCATCTATAGACACATTTTTATATAGAAAAAGGCAGGAGTAGACACAGAAAACCAAGGAGAGCATCTAAGTCCAGATATTACATATGTGACCATTACCATTAGCAGCAATGCAACTGACATGATGACTAAAAGAAAGGCAAAGTAATGATGAAAGTGAAAGTTGCAATAAACAAGTTTTTATGTTGTAATTGTTTTTGAAACAGGGTCTCACTCTGTTGCCCAGGCTGGAGTGCAGTGGCATCATCATAGATCACTGCAACCTCAAACTCCTAGGCTCAAGTGATCCTCCTGCCTTAGCCTTCTAAAGTGCTAGGATTACAGGCATAAGCCATCACACTGCCTATGTTATAATTTTTAACCAAGTTTATTTATTTGAATTTGTCAATTGTAAGTATTTGTTTGATTTATTTTACTTTTGGAATGGAGCTCTAGAAATAAATCAAGATGCATTTAAAAACAAGTCATGTTAAAAACTTAGACACACATTTATCTTTCCTTGAATAATGAAATTTTTGAGATGCTTAAATGGCTGATTTCACTCTCCTTCTTAGGAAAGTCCCTTAAGAAGGCTGTGCTGTGGGTGTGCTCACAAGCCCTTAGAGCTCCAGCCTGAGTCAAGGACTCCGGTTTCTGGTAGGAAGGATAACATTGGCATCTCTAAATCAATACTAGAGTTTCCTTTTAGGAAGTTAAAACCCTGTGGTGCAGAATTAATTACACTTTATGCAGAACTAATCTAAGTCTTCTGACCACGTGCTGCAGAACCATACACTGCAGAAAGGCAGCACTATTCTTTCTGTGGATTTGTCTATCAGTTATCCCTAACTAGCTAAAATTAACTTGTTTAAAAGAAAAAGAAAGAATAAAAGTTATTACAGGGGTTCTTTAATCTTTATCCACTGAGGCTTACCTCTCTACGCCTGGAGGCCCAACAACTTTGTTTGATCTTCCAAACCACAGCAGCCACCAGGAGCAAAGAGAGGAAACAACTGTGAGAAAGGAAAGTACTGAGTTATTATCCCAGCCCCCAGAATCAGCACTGTTACCATCACCCAGGCTCAGGCCAGGCAGTGAAAACAACCCCAAATACCAACTCCAGACTCCCTTCTGAGGCTTCACCAGGATAATGTCCCGGTTCACAGGGAGCAGAGTATACAAAGACTTTGGTGAGCTGAGCTTCCTGATCTGACCTCCTACATGGTACTAAAAGAGCCCTGACCTCCACTGGGCCTCTATCAGAATGGCCCATAGTGGCTTATCACAAATAAGAAAAATAATTCTAAGGCAGTTATAATAAATAGTGTGCTATTTAATCTAATTAGCAAACATTGGTAAAGTCTAAGAAAATGAGAAAAGTTTTTTCTTTTTTTGGGAGACAGTGTCTTACACTGCCATCTGGGCTGAAGTGCAGTGGTGTCATCATAGCTCACTGCAACCTTACACTCCTGGCCTCAGGTGATTCTCCCACCTCTGCCTCCCAGAGTGCTAGGATTACAAGCAGGAGCCCCCTTGCCCAGCCAAGAAAAGTTAATTGTTAAAGTAACAATCAGCTTTTCATAAGAGCCAAACAGAAGAAATTACTGTGTAACGATTAATATATGTTCAATAATACTTTAACAAAGTAAATATGTATTTTTTATAAAATAAAACACATTTAAGATGACCAAACTCAAGCCAACAATTTTTTTTTGAGACAGAGTTTCAACTGTTGCCCTGGCTAGAGTGCCATGGCATCAGCCTAGCTCACAGCAACCTCAAACTCCAGGGCTCAAGTGATCTTTCTGCCTCAGCCTCCCAAGTAGCTGGGACTACAGGCATGTGCCACCCACGCCCGGCTAATTTTTTTCTATATATGTTTAGTTGTCCAATTAGTTTCTTTCTATTTTTAGTAGAGATGGAGTCTTGCTCTTGCTCAGACTGGTCTTGAACTCCTGAGCTCAAAGGATCCGCCCGCCTCAGCCTCCCAAAGTGCTAGGATTACAGGCATGAGCCACCACGCCGGGCCTAAGACAACGATTTTCTTAAAAATATGAGAAAATAACTCCTAGTGGCCTTATAGCAGCAAAAGATTCTAATATTCTCATCTGTAAACAGGTGTTGAATGGTTTGAAAGCTGTTATAGTAAAGAAAATGGTTGACTTACAGTTAAAAGCAAGAATGAACTTAACAAATAAACCTCTTAGATAACTGCTATAAAAAAATTTAAAACTGGCATTTTTTACTCAGTAACTTGTAACAGGGGTTTGCTACAGAGTATTTTTCCACATGCAGACATAAGGCTCTCTGCCCTGTGCCATCAGGTACCGTCTTGCCAAGCTCTGAGTTTACAGGATGGGGTCCCCTACATGAATGGCACCTCAGTGCACCCACGTGCTGACACTGGACAGCCTTCCTGGGCTGGCTGGAGAAAGGCATTCTAAGATGGTATGAGACTGAACCGCCCTTTCACAAACAGAAACCTCAAGGCTCCTGTAGCCTACTGCACCCCCAAGATGCACAAGGGTGCAGACCCCTCCAATGGGTGCCCTGACCAAAGACAATCCAATAGGATCACGCCCCAGTCTCCCGAGGGCCATGAGTCAGTGGAGAGACCTCAATTCCTACCTTGCAAGGCTTCCCTGTTATCCTGACACTGCCACCAACCCTTCTTCCTTTCTGACAGTCTACGCTGTTCTTTTAATCAATACTTAATTGGGCCAGGTCCTGTTCTAGGCTCATGGAATGCATCGATGAACAAGATAAAGATCACTGTTCCCATGGAGTTTACACTCCAGCAGGTGAAAACAAACAGTAAACAAAATAAATAAGCAAATTATAGACCATGTCAGAAGGTAGTTAAGTGCTACAGAAATTAAAAGGCAGTAAGGGGCCGGGCGCTGTGGCTCACGCCTGTAATCCTAGCTCTTGGGAGGCCGAGGCGGGCGGATTGCTCAAGGTCAGGAGTTCAAAACCAGCCTGAGCAAGAGCGAGACCCCGTCTCTACTATAAATAGAAAGAAATCAATTGGCCAACTGATATATATATAAAAAAAAAAATTAGCCGGGCATGGTGGCACATGCCTGTAGTCCCAGCTACCAGGGAGGCTGAGGCAGAAGGATTGCTCGAGCCCAGGAGTTTGAGGTTGCTGTGAGCTAGGCTGACGCCACGGCACTCACCCTAGCCTGGGCAACAAAGCGAGACTCTGTCTCAAAAAAAAAAAAAAAAAAAAAAAAAAAAAAAAGAAAAAGATTTCCTGAGAAGGTGACATTTGAGCACAGACCCAAAGGAAGTAGGGGAGGTGGCTCATGGATGTCTGCAAAAGTGCACCTGGACATAGAGGTGTCAGCTCATAGCACAAGGCAAGGACGTGCCTGGGATGGTTTGAGGAACCTCAGGAGGCCAGTGTGGCTGGAGTGGGGTAAGGCCAGAGATAAAGGCAGAGAGTCAGGGTAGGTTGGAGTGGAGGGCAGATCAAATGGAGCCCTGCAGGCATTATAAGGGCACTGGATTTTACTGAGTGGGAGCCAGTGAGGTTTCTGAACAGAGAAGTATCATGATTTAACTAATGCTAAGACCATGAGGGCTGCAATGGCAGAATCAAGGAGAGCAGTAGTCTGGGTGAGAGATGATGGTGGCTCAAACACGGGTGGTGGTAGCAGGGGTATGAAAAGCACTTTGGAATCTGGACACATCAGGAATCCCATTTTGGACATGCTGAGCACTGATCTATGGGACAGCCAAGAGCTTATGTCCTGGGCAGACAGATGAACCTGAAGGCTGGGTACCTGGTCTGGACTGAACAGGGCATTTGAGAGTCATCAACATATATATGGTATTTGAAGCAATAAACCTGGATGAGGTCACCAAGGGAATGAATACAAATAGAGGAGAATGTCCTGAGGGTACTCCAACATTGAGAAATTGGGGAGAACAGGAAGAAAAAGGAATCTGAGAATAACCTTCTCAGTCTTTCTTGGTTTCCATGCATAATCCTGCTTTTTGTTATTTTTATTCTACTAAACACAAGGAGGCAGCAAACCCACGGAAGAACTTAAAGCCAATGAGAACAGCTTCTAAAATGGTCAAGAGACTGCTGCTGTAGCTGAGTACAGAGCTGGCCTCAGAGGCAAGGACCCTGGTGTCACTAAGAGGCCTCTCTTGGGACCACCCACAATACAGAAAGTCAGTGTCCCCTTCCCCCAAGCCTGGGGGAAGGCCGTTCTGTCTTCAATGCAAACCTGTTGAAAACACCAATGCTCCTTCCACCTGCTCCAGCTACAAGCAGGGGCAAAAACAGCATACTAACACAGTGATTGTCTCCCAAAGCTGACACATGCATGGTTTCTGAGGTAAACATAATGAAGAACTTACCAGTCATTCCAAAAAAAAATGGCACTCACTTATACCTCTCCCTTCTTTTTTTCTCCTACTCCTAATTTGGATACAGATGTGGCTGTAGTTCAGTGTTCATCCTACTGTAGGCCCTGTTATCAATTGTTTTCTATATTTTTCAACGCATATATAATTTTGAAAAATGTTATCATGGAAATTTCCAAACATACACAAAGTAGAGAGAAAAATCTAGTGAATTCCTACATGTCAGCCTATTTTACTCAGCTTCAACAATTATTAACATTTTGTCAATGTGATTCACACCTCATGCTTAAAGAAGAATATATTTCTCTTTCAATACTAAGGCACTGGCCCCCGGCCACTGGCCTCTCAGCTCTGTCCCTGAGGAGAAAACAAGAATCCTTTGGCTTTTTTGTTCCAAACCCAGCCCTGCTTGTCCGAGTTTTGCACTTTCCTGAGACTATTCTGAAAAATCCATGCCTTGATTTTTAAGTCTATCTTTTATATGTCTTTTAAAACACATTTTGGGAGAGTTTGGGGACATCTATTTGTTTCTCACTGGCTTAACTGTCATGGTGCGGCTAGGAGTATATTTTTGAGAATGTCCTGAAGTGGCTCCTTTTTCCTTCCAGAGATTGAGGCCTTTAAAGAATGGCTCTTTCCCTGCTCGTAAAGTCCAGCCTTCCTAAAACTCTCTTGGCCTGGCCCTGACCTCCTGGCAAGCCTGAACTGAGAGATACCACTGCTTCTTCCCAAATTCCTAGGATTTGTATTCACCATTCTAGTTAGAATTAAGTCCAGAGTAGCAACATCCTGTATCATTTCCATCTTCTGGAAAATAAAATGGTCTATGAGCTGTGGATGTGTCAAAATGTCTGCTGTCAATCTGACAAGCGTCTTAGCAGAAATTCAGATAATAAAAGGTTTTATGAAAACATTCTATCTTGTCTACCTCGGGAATTCCCACTACATTCCCTCTTTTGGCCAGGTGGCGTGACACCACTTGTTTCTCTTTCTATCCTCGCCCAAATGCTGCCCTCTAAGGCTCCTCTCACTGCAGCCACAGACTTTCACAGCGTTAGCTGCCTCTCCTCCTCTTACCTATAAGTTATCCTTCTAGCCTCGCTGGCACATCACTGCAGGGATTACAAAGCCCTTTCACATATATCACGTCACTTAGTTCTCAGAGCAAGCAAGCGAGAGGGTGTCATTATGTCCCTCTTTATACAAGAGGCTCCTGCTTGAGGCTGGAGAAGCATCTCATTAAGGCATAAAGAGGTCTTAACAGATTGTGTCAGGATGAGAGTTTACTTCACTGAGCCTCCAGCCTGGGAAGTACTTTTCCTAACTCCCCTCATACTGATTTTCTCATTTGATTCATTGACCTCCCCTGCCCCCACCTCTAATTCTCTTTTCTGTATTATACGACATGCTCTTCAGAGGGTTTGGGATTATCTGGATAGCTTTCTCCTTCTCCTTATTTGCTCCATTTTAAATTCTTTTGGACTTGGTTAACTTGCTCTCAGAATATATTTTCTTCCCCATGCTCATGACAAGAATTCTATTCTTAGCTAAAATTTCATCATCTCTAGTTTATAAACATCGTCCAGAAAAATCAAAGTTCTGGATTCTTTTCCAAAAGTTGAACCTTCACAAA